TGGGTGGATGACTTGTTGTGTTGTAAAGCATCTTGGGGGGTTGTAGTACCTTAAGAAGGCACCATACAAAAATAAGCTACTTACTATTTAGTTGTTATTATGTGGTGCAGGTGATGTTTGTAACCCGTTCTAATGTTTAATTTTTTCTTTTTTATGAGATGAGGACACAGCATATATCGGTATCGGCTTCCCTGAGGTCCAGTGACCAAAGCCTGCTGGTTGTGCAACACCAGGATCATTTGCTGCTGTGGTCCCCAGACTCTGAATCTCTCTCCCCCGAGCCTGAGATCTGTGGGCTCAGTGGTCTCCTTTAAAAAGCAGCTGAAGACTCACCTGTTCAGGCTGGCTTTGGTGTGACCTTCGCTTGATTTTTCATCACTACCTTCTCATCATTCTGCTCTTTCTACCAAATCTGCCTTTCCCAGTATCCACAGATTACATTTTTCATGATCATTTTTCTTTTTTACATTTCTCACATTATTGTAATTTATCATTTTTTATTCATTTAAAATAATTTAAAAAAAAATTTTTTTTGTTCTTGTGAAGCACCTTGTGATGTTCATCTTGAGCGACACTATATAAATAGTTTATTATTATTATTATTATTCCTCTTCTTCTTCAACAGCGGTATATCAGATATTGGTTAAATGCCATTGTTGAGCATCCCTAATTTTTCCCAAAGGTTTTCAGACCAACTTTCAAATTGAGCTGAAGCAGGACTTTGAGCATTTGAATGTCACCACCTGTACATCCTCAGTCTATGCTGTAACATTTAGGGTAATTCTTTTGTAGATGTAAAGGTTTTCATCCTCATCCTCTTTGGGTGTGACTGGTTGTTGCTTCTAATCGTCGGCATATTTATGTGTACTTCTTCTACCACCTGCTTTCCGGTTTCTTTTCATGCCAACTTCACACTTTGTTTAAATTTAGATCTGCTAATCCCACTTAGAAACCCTCGTGTTGAAATAAAAATCTACTCTGACCTTCACAACATTTCAACTCGCAGTGGGAAACACTATCCAAATATTCCTCATCCATTTCTAGTATCGAAGTCGTTTTCACAGTTGTCAGAATTTCTTCCCTTTTTGACCTCAGAAAAAGCTCCCAGGTGGAAAGTTTTGGCACATTTTGACTGAATTTGTTCCCATTTGTTATGTATAATCTGCACCATCACAAATCCATTTATGCAGCTCTCAGTTCAGTGTCAGCACTTTGGTGATGGTCTCCATCGATACAAGAGTGACTGACATCCCTACTTGTATGTGTCATCCATGTTACAGAAGCAATCTCAGAATACACAAAGAATACTTTGTACTCTGTACTTGCTGTGAGCAGAAAGGTGAAATACCTTGGTCATCATTTAAATGATCGATTAAGTGATGATGAGGATATGTATGTATAGGCAGTGCTGTAAGCTCTACACTGAGGCAAATACTATTGCTCACAAGATTAGCTTTTGCTCATCTCCAGTTAAAGTGGCTCTGTATTGCACTCCGCTTCATACCGCCCAACTGTGGTCGTCATATAAACAGTGCAGCGTGCGTAAGCTGTGTGTTGCACTGAGAATCATCCTAAGATGGGGGAATGCCAGTCAGATGTTTGTAAATGCAGGTGTGTGCACTTTATAGAGCTCCGGACGTCACGTGACTCTCAGAGTAGACGCCATGTTGGCAGGCAACAAAGGTAAACAAAATGAACGGGATCGGCTTGGATTTTACTTCGTCTGAGTTTTCTTCACACTTTAAAACCGAAGAAATCGTTTTATATAGTCAGAAATTGAATAGACTAAACATCTCCGACCCTTACCGTGCCCCTGGGATACTTTTTGAAAATGCCAGAAGCTGTCGGAGCGGACTTCTTACCGGACCTGGCCGGGGAACACCTTGGGATTCCCCCGGAGGAGCTGGCTTAGGCGGCTGGGGAGAGGGAAGTCAGGGCCTCTCGACGCTACATGCCCCCGCAACCCGACTCCGGATAAGCGGATGAAAATGGATGGATGGATGGACAAATAACATAGATTTACTGTACATGTAAGTAGTTTAAATAGAGTGCTGTGCTGTTTTAATGTATAAACTGAACACCAAGAGAAATCACTAGTTTGATTGTTTTCCGTGAATAAAATAAATATGTCAGGCAGGAGCGTCTCAGGATCTGTCTGAGATCTGTCTCGGTGAGACATATAACAGCAATCCAAAGTGATTGTTATGTGTGATCTGACAATTGATCAACCATTGCTTAAAACTTAAATACAGCTTAGCCGGTTAATTGCTGTGATCATAAAACACGTAAACGGCAGCACACAGAACTCACGAGGCAACGTTTTACGTGATGTTTACTTGTTGCTGTGAGTAATAAGACAGAAAAAGCCACGCCAAAATAAGTTTAGGAAGCCCACTAAGAATCATAATAAAAGCATTTAAAATAAATACCATACACAGTTGAGGAAACGTTGGTTTAAGTACCTGATATGAAGAGGTCGTTGCATAAGCGAAAACCTTCACTCTCGGGATCCCACAGTTTCATTTTAGCCCGGTCACTAGTGCGTTTTATTACAATGATCCAACGTTTGCGGCACTCCGGATCTTGGGAAATCCTGTAGATGGCTCATTCCTTATGTCGTCCGCGTCTGTTCTGCATCCTGGGACACAACAGGAATCTACCATATTTCCCGTTTGATTGAGTTTTCTGACAATAACAAATAGTCCAGCTGCGGGCTTCTGCCTGCCAAATGGCGCCGTTTCAATTTGAACTGTCGCATGCCGGGAAACGTGACGTCAACTCCCGGAGCTCTATAAGCACTTTTAAGAAAACTGATATTTGGATTCAGAGAAAGTGTTGATGGGTCAGATAACAGTATTATTATAGCAATCTTTGATCCTACTGTTAGTTGCTGTCGTTACTCATCAGGATTAAGGAAGCACTGGTTGATGAGTCTGTGTGCTCAGATTGTAGTGTGTTTTATTTGAATCTATTTTTACATTTTTTGTAGCTTAATCTTTATTATCTTTGTATGGTGCTTTTATGTCTTTTATCCTCCCATTTCTTTTTTGATGTATTTATTTATTTTTATACTTGTATGTTTAAGTATTTATTTTAGGTGCTGTTTCTGAGTTTGTACTGGACCTTTGAGTCTATTAATAAAGCCTATCTATCTTTCTAATACTTGGCAAGGAAGCAAAGTGTGTGTGTGTGTGTGTGTGTGTGTGTGTGTGTGTGTGTGTGTGTGTGTGTGTGTGTGTGTGTGTGTGTGTGTTTTGAGTAGAAGACTATTTACATGATCAGCCCACATGACAAACTCGGAGTCACCGATTATAATCAGAAACAAATAATTAAATGAATAAATAATGTATTTTAGGTTAATTAAGAGACTTTTATAATTAGCATTATAATTAGCATGATAATATGATCCAATAAATAAACTTATATAAATCAATCTACTGTATTTTTGTCAAGTCTTTATTTTGTGTTTAAGTTATATATGCATGTACATTTTTAGCAAGGCACAGACTTCATTTTGTAACAAGCTAGACTTGGCTGCAATGAGAAGTTACATCAACACATGTGTTATCTTTTTTTAACTGCTGCTTAAGATCTCTGCAGCTGGCAGAAGCACATTGATTGAGTGGATTTGAAGGGGTAATAAAAAGCTTGCCTGTTGCAGTTTCTTGATAGCATCAGTGATGATAGATGCTGAAGTGGCTTTGAGTCTGGGCGGCTTTTCAGCATTTACTATCAGCAGCCACCTCTCTCCAGCTTTCTTTTATTTTTATTTTTATTTTTTTGCTTTATCTGGCTGAAAAAACTCCCAACTCAGTTCACTCATACACCCGTGAACATCTGCTTTGCTTCCAACAGTTTATGGTTTCTTATTATTATAGTAAATCATGTGAGGTTTTCTATTATTATTTCTAAAATATAAGTTCTTCATACTGAAACATGGCGCTTCATGCTTTATTAAATCAGACTGCACTTCGCTCCGGTTTAGCTTTATTTTTCTACTTTAATATACTTGAACAGGGAATCATAACTTTGCTGTAAGGTCCAGGAGAGGAAAAAATGGTGTGGTCTCCAAGGAATTTGTTGAAAAATGAACAAAGTTTTTTTTTATGACTACATGGAGTTCATGCAAACTCATGGTTTGGTGTGTTTGCTCGAATTGTTTTGTTTTCCTATCTCAACATATTGATTGTTGATCATTTTTTCACTTTAGTCAAAACAAAACATGAGCTCCTCAACCCCAATAATAGCTCCAGTTATTGAATTATTGCACCTGGGAGAGTGTTCAGTTTACATGGGATATTTTTATCTGGCGTACTGTTTCCAGGCAAGTGGATGGGAACATACGGTAATGACGATAATTGTGACATTGAAGTTTTAACAATAAAATATCCCAGAGGTGTTTAGCTAGGAAACCGTGGTCAATTATTTCATAGAAAAAATGAAAACATTATTACAATGGTCTTTTACTTGTTGTTTTAGTATCAAATTTAAATTGGAGAGCAGAGAATCCCAGAAAAAGTCCATTCAAGCTGACAAATGTGGATGAAAGGCAGAATTGTTTTGAGGTTTAAATGGTTTAGACATATGTAAAACATAGCTGTTTGTCTATGGTTTGCATAGATATTAGCATAATAAACAGACAGGAAAGCACGAATACACAGTCTATATTTTGCCACGTGAAATGTCTGCACAGTGTCTTTGAAATACCTCAGTAAACCTCTGTCCCATTACCATACATTATGAATGTGCCCATTTCTTGTGTCCCACTCATGTGAAAGCCTCCCTTGAAATAACCCAAAATGCACTGTCAAAGCTGGAGATGTCAGAATTAACAATTAATGCATATGCATTTAAGAAATGTTACATTCATGTGAATACTTGACCATTATTATTAAGCCATTAAATCAAGCAATCCAGTTTAACTTTATGGTAGATAGTAGATGGAAGAGATACATTTAACAGAATTTTTATTTTTATTTATTTATTTATTTTTTTCACAGAAAGAATGGCTTTGCCTCAACTGTCAAACGCAACAAGCCATTTCAGGCCAGTTGGGAGACATGCCGCCTCCATCTATGGCTTCTCCAGAGACGCAACCACCTGCTGCTCAGTCTACTCCTTCCTGTGTTCCCGCTCCTGCTTCTGTAGATAGCAAACCTGTAGCCGAAGCAATAGAACCAACCCCACCAGCTCCCGAGCCCAAGGTAGCACCCTCAATCATACCAGAAGCCACACCAATTTCACCGGAGCATATTTTTCCTTCTCTTGTGAACACTACACAGGAAATGCCTGAATGTGAAGGATCAAATCAGCAATTAGTAGATGAGTTAGTGCTTGAAGATGTGATTCAGCTTGAAAACAAGCCTCTGAATTCAGAGAGTTTAGCTGAAAGCAGCCCAGGAATCCCACAAACTGACCAACAGCAGGACAGTTGTGAGAAAAAAGCAGAGGACCCCCATCACTGTGATACAGAACCACCTTTTTCTAATGAGCACAATCAGACATCACCTGTTAGTGAAATCCCAATAGTAGATCAACAACAGAGTTGCTCTGAGAATTGCACCAAAGCTGTTGTACCTGCATGTTTAGATGAGACAGTAACTTCTGTAGAGGAACAAACTAAGCCAAGTCCAGAGACTACTCAAAGTGAAGATACAACTTCCCCACCTGATCACGAGAAAAGAGAGCCACCAGAAAAGCTTCTAGACATGACAACAAATCCAGTTGAGTCTCCACCTTCTTTGATACCTGCAGTTGAAACACAAGAAGTACCTGTCGATCAGTCAGATTTCTTAGCAACAACTACAGCTGAGAAGAAAATAGCTGAGATTTCCTCTGAGAAACCTCTAACAGACACCCCCCATGTCATTCCCGTGGGACAAACTCCATCAACTCCACTGGACAATACATTAGATGTCAATCAAACAGACATGAACATAGATAAAACTGGTGCAGCTATCATTACATCCGGTGTCATAAATTCAGTTAAAGAAGCAATACCCTCTTTTGGCCCTGCTGACCAAGTCAGTGTTCTTAAATGTGAAAAGATAGAGCAAGAATTACAACCAAAGCCAGAAATGTGTCCAGAAACTGAAATCCCAGCTTCCCAGGGGCTTTCCCAAACAAGTGAAATAAACAAAGAGAAGGTGACTACAGCAAATGAAAAAGTCGAGATTCCTCCCGATGCTGCGCTGTTTCAGGGAGAATCTAAAATTCAGACTAATAATGAGGAAATTGCTATGGAGAAAGTGCTCAAAAGAGCCGATAAAGAAACTTCAGATGAGCATAAAATAAATCTGAGTGCAAAAGGAGCTACAGAGGTAAAAGCTGATGAAGGAAGGGCTTTAGAAAAGGAGGGAGTTCAACAGAAAACCACTGAGAAGACAACTGTTCTGGAAAAGAGTGGTAATAATTTAGACTCCGCTCAAGCAATTACTGGTACCGAAACAGAAAATATCAGTATTTCAGAGAGAAGAATAGATTTACAAATGTCAACAGAATCAGCAAATGAAACCACCAAAGAAATAGTTCAGACAATTAAAGAACTTCAGTCAGAAACAAAAACTGAGACGTTTGAAATAGAGAAATCAGAGGAAAAAGGCCAATCTTTGATCTTAGCAGAGGAAGGATCACCAAAAAGGGAGAAACAAGAAGTGGACGATCCTGTAATAAAGGTGGATGACGGAGCAGTGCTTATATCTGAGCTCCCACCTCTTGAACAGAAAGAGAAAGAAAAAGTGAATGTTGGTGTGCCAGTGAATACTATAGATGTGGTTTCAAACTCAGTTGTCTTTAGTGAGACAAATCTCAGTGAGAAAACATGTGAGGCAAAACACTCCCAAGTAGAGATAGAGGCTGGCTCACTAAAGGGAAGCAATGCAGCTGAAAATCAAAATGAGCCTCAGAAAAATCTTCAGCTGTCAATCAAGGAATGGAAAGCAGAAAGTGACAGGAAAGAGGATGAGTCACAGCCTGCTGTTGGTAGCATCCAGGAAACTGTTTTAATAACTGAGGCAAGTGCAAAGGGCAGCAAATATGGCAATACAGTGTTTGATGTAGGAGTATGCACAGCATCAAAGCAGGGGGAAGTGTCAGAGTGTGCACATGCATTGGTACCTTCTGTCCTTGTAGCAGAACCTGAAACCCAGTCTGTAGTTAGTGAGCAGGATGAAGGCACAAGGCAAGAACACACGGAGAAGAAAACGGAAGCTAAAGCTAAGCCTCTGGAAAAGCACAGGGAAGAAGATACAGAGTCTAAGGTGACCATAGTATCTAGCAAACGTAGAAGTAAAATGTATCATGTTTTGGGCATCAGTTTATTTACAAATTATTTGATTTTTGTGTAAATGGAGATCAATAAAACCATTATGAAAATTTTGCCAGAATATTGTTTTAAATGAACGAATGAATGTCTTTTTTCAATCCATCAGATTGAAATGATGAAGACTTTGAAGGAGCCTGATGTAAGGGAAGTGAAGGCCAAAGAAGGCAGTCCCACCAGTCCCTCAGACATTTCAAAACTAGAAAGTTCAGTCCTTCCCATTCTTGAGGCCCCAGGGAGTACACCAGAGGAAAAACAAACTCTAAAGGCCAGGCGTAAATTAGAGGTACTCCCTCTTTCACCTGATTCTCCTAGTTCTGAAGAGGATAAGGAACTTTTGGAGAAGAACATCAATGGCACCACAAAGAAAAAGCTCCTTGTCCCAATGGATGTCAAGGCTGATTCTTTAGATGACAGCAGTGAAAGCTTTGGAAAAGAAAGCCCAATGTCAGGAGAAGATGAGGACTTTATTAGAAAACAGATCATAGAAATGAGTGAGAATGAGGATGCCTCACCATCTGATGAGGAAAACCTGATCAGGCGTAAGATCAGAGAGGATGAGAAGAAAAAAGTGGAACAAAGGAAAACTGAGACTACAGACAAGAGCTCATTGGGGAAAGCTAGACGACTCACAAAGAAAACAACTATAAGTCCAGATGATGATGATAAAGATTTTGCATCCACACTGGATAAACCTCTTAGTGATCAAATGGAGCAACAAGAAGAAAAACAGGAAGATGATAAAATCAGTACCGCAGTCCGCAATTTCCAAACCATGGAGCTGAATACAATCAGCAGCCCAGTGCGTATACCGATTGCTGATGGAGAGGCAGAAATGGAAAGTCTTACAGACTCTCCAGAAGACCGGTCCAGAGGTGATGGGTCTTCTAGTCTGCATGCATCGAGCTTCACACCAGGAACATCCCCAACATCACTTTCATCACTGGATGAAGACAGTGACAGCAGCCCGAGCCGCATCCGGTCTGGTGAGGGTAAACAGCACAGAAAAGCCAAACATAGACAGACTGGTCAAATGCTGCCAACTATTGAGGACTCCTCTGAGGAAGAAGAGCTGCGAGAAGAGGAAGAATTACTCAGGGAGCAAGAAAAGCAGAAAGGTTCAGGAAAAAAATCTAAGAAAGACAAAGATGAGATCCGTGCCCAGAGGAGGCGAGAACATCCAAAGACAACACCAAGTAACCTTTCTCCTATTGAAGATGCCTCGCCTACAGAAGAGCAGAGGCAAGAAGCAGAAATGGAGGAGATCAGACGATCATCCTGTTCTGATTTTTCCCCGAGTTTTGAATCAGATCCTGAAGGATTTGAAATCCACGCTTCAAAGAATGCAGCAGTCCACAAAACATATCAGCTGCCTGTATCAATGTCTCTTCACTCACCAACAGATGACCAAACCACTGATGAACCTCAAACAAAACCTCTCAAATCTGCTGATGAAGCCTATGAGGAAATAATGCTGAGGGCCAAATCACCAACAGTTGACAGAGTTGAGATTCAATCAGACAAACAGTCTGTTTATGGACGTGTGCTAATTGAAGACTATGCCTACTCATCTTTTGATCTAGAAGAGCCAGAAAAAATGACAGTTCCCACTCAAAATAAAAAGCTAAGGTCACCAGATGAAGTGTATGAAGATATGATAAAGAAGAGAAAAGAATTTATGCAGCTGGAACAGGAATATGAAAAAATGAAGCCAAAACATGAAACGCCAAATCCAGAAATTGTGCTTCAACTTGCTGAGAATATCTCCAAAAGCAGCACAGTAATATTAGGTAAAGATGGGAAACCATTGTTGGATGCAGAGACTGCCTATGAAGAGCTAATGAAAAAAGTCCTAACTCCGGGAACGAGTCCAACTCAACTTGAACCAGAAGTGGAATTTACTGTAACAAAAAAGGCCCTCCGTCCCATACCAGACCTAAAAGTGACACAGTGCTCTTCAGGAGAGTTATCATCTGATGAAGAATCTGCAGTTAAAAAGGAACAGGAGACAGGTGCTGTGTCAGTTGTAAAACCTGAAGTGGAGCCTGAACCTTTGAAAGGTGTTTCTGAATCTTCCCCATTGCCCACAACTGATCAGCAACCTCAGACAACAGTAATAACTTCCCATGTTGCTCTTGTAGACTTATCAAGCACTTTCACAAGATCATCATCCCCTGTAATTGCCAGTGCATCGCCTTTGCCCACAGTCCCACAGTACACACCTAGTATACCCAGTGTAGTGTCAACAGCACCACCTGTCCCCCCTAAACCAAATGTCTTGCGTAGGGCAAACTCTCAGGAACAATCAGAAGAACCTGTTGCACCACCCATGCCTCCTCCCACTCCTCTAAAACCTACTGTTTTCCCCAGAAAAGCTCCAATACCACTTCCACCTCAGGCTTCAGCTCCCCTGAAAAAAACAGAGTCAGTGGTTATGACAACACCACAAGGATCACCTGTAAGACAAGCAGTTACCCCAACATATAAGCCTCATGTTCCTCCTCCTGTTCCCCCAAAGCCAGCCATTCCTCCTGGAATTGGGGACAGTCATAAAGCAGGACACATTGCCAAACCACCAATTGCACCAAAGCCTGGTTCACAGCCACCTTCACCTGCTCATGCCCCACATGCAGCAAGACCAACTGTACTACCTACCAGTCATGGTGACACAGTCCTTAATCTGAGCCCTTCTTCTGAAAGCAAGATATTTCAGCCCTCACCAAAGTCTCCTTCCTCTCCAAGATATGTCAGCAACCTCCGTGACACATATGTAGTCATCACACTGCCATCCCAGCCTAGTTCTCCTGTTGACAGTGTCACAACTCAAGCTCCCTCTAGTCCTGGACCAACACCCCCATCACGTCAAGCTCAGCCCGAAAGTTATTACCAACCACAGTCTCAACAACACCAATATTCACAGCACTATCAACACCCAACTCCTCCTCAAACAACCAGGGTGCCTCTGGCATACACACGTGTCACTGAATCTATTGAAAACCAAGAGGTTTGTAGCCCAGAAAAACATGTATCCAGTTCTTGTCATATAATTGAGGCAATATCGGCCTCAGCACAGCAACCCGTTGTTATGCCTAACCTCATATCGCAAGTGGTTACTACAGAAGTTCAAAGAACCACTGTCTCTGTTGTTCATGAAAGAACACCAGCACCAATACCAGCCCCAAGGGCAAATGGTGTCCCTATCTTGATGGAGAAAGCTATGCCCCTGATTTCTGCTCAGAATGAACAGGTCTCTCAACCCACTGAGGTTGTGGATCTTAGAACAGTGAAGGTTGATTCAGAATTAAACATGAATGGTGTTGATCTGACTACCAGCCCAGATTCAAGACGCCCATCTTTTGCAGGGGAAGGCAGCCGTCACAACAGTGCAGTACAATCACCAGTGGTCAACCTCAGCACTGAATCATCCACTGTTTCTATAGTGACTGATAGCATCACCATTGTAACTTGTGCTGCTACAATCCAGCAAAGTGACATTGTAGAACTATCTCAAGCATCTTCAGTGCCCCTCCAGCTAACAACAAACAAGTCATTTGAACCAGTTTCTCAAATTGTATATCGACCAATTGATTCCCAGCCCTCCACTCTTGCTACCACAGAGATCCCAATCAACCTAACAGTTGGATCAAACACAATTGTAGGAAGTTCACAAGCCACTTCAGCTTCTTTTGCATCCAATTATGTTGCAAGCTGTGTTGCCAATGGATTAACAACAGGAAGAACAACAGTGGCAGGAGCTGTTGACCTCAGTACCACAAAATCTTTCAATACTATGGTGTGTATAGATGATAAATCTACAGATGTGGTCACAGCTGTAATTACAGATGACAGCAAACCAGTGGATCTGACAGCAGGGAAAAGAGCTGTCTGTTGTGACGTTGTGTACAAGCTCCCTTTTGCAGGAAGTTGTGCAACTCAGCAGCCTACCACACCTCTTCCCGAAGATCGTTTTGGATACCGTGATGACCATTATCAATATGATAGAACACCTTATGGCATGAGAGGATTTGGAGGAATTAAACCGTCAATGTCAGATACCAACCTAGCAGAGGCTGGCCTGTTCTTATACAGGAGTAAGAACAGCTATAATTTCATAACTACAACAGATGGTGCAGTAGATCTTACTTCAACAAAGATATCAGATGCAGGTCAGTGCAGTGACATTGCTGACCTGTCACTAAAATGTCATTTTGAACTGCTTCCACTTATTCATGGCTAATGTGACATTTTTTATTTCTTTGTTTTTCATTTGAGTTTATTTTGCATGGACTTTTCTTTGCCTTTTTTTTTTCAACATCAGATTTTTGCATGCTCCTGTGCCTGTTTTGCTTGTTCCACATCAGTCTTGGATTATTTTTTCCTTGTTCGGCTTTTAAAAATATTTTTTAAAGGCATGGCTTGCTTCAGTGTCAAATGGGTCTACCATAAATGGACTGAACATATATTTTTGATTTTTGACAGGTGAAGCTGTTGACTACTCCAAGAAAGGGAGTTATTCAGGAATGGGAATTCTACCGCATTCCCAAGCCAGTGTCGCAAGTGCTGTCAGTACACTCTTTGGCACAACCAGTGTTTTGAGGTCATCAAATGGAGTGGTCTATTCCTCTGTTGCAGCACCAATACCATCTACATATGCCATTACTACCCAGCCTGGTTCTATATTTAGTGCCCCAACATACAATGCCATTGCAGGTATGCACACAAGTGACACAATGCCTTCACTGTCTGCTCTACAGAACATACCACTTACAAGATCCCAAAGTTTTCTGTCGACCGTCCCTGCGTCTTCAACGGAAGATCAAGGAGTTGTGCCTCTCAATCTGGAGATCACCAGAGGTGGTGCTTTAAGTATTGATACTATGTCTAAAGCTACCACATCTTTATCCCTTGACACTTATACAGATGCATCTCTGGAGGCTATAGCTGCTTCTCTTGAGGCCTTGTCCTCACCAATGATTCCTGGGGATGGCCAGTATCAAGCAGAGCGTGAGAGGTTAGAAATGGAAAAACTCAAGCAGCAACGCCTGGCTGAAGAATTAGAATGGGAGCGACAGGAGATTCAAAGGTTTCGGGAACAAGAACAGCTCCTGGTACAAAAAGAGTTAGAGGAACTACAATCCATGAAGCAGCAGATACTGGCACAACAAGAAGAAGAAAGACAGGCCCACCTCATGATGCAAAAAGAAACCTATGCCCAGCAACAGCAGCAGCTTGAGCAAATACAAAAACTCCAAGAACAGTTGCGTCTACAACTTGAAGAACAAAAGTTTCGCCAAATGTACCCAGATAGGGATTTGCTAGGGCATGGAGTTCAGGAAGCTGTTGTCTTGGGCCCTGATGGCACAGTTCTCTCTCGAAAGATCACTGACAGTGGGTGCCAGACGGATGAGGAAGATGAAGCAGTAAGCAAAGCTTACACAGCAGGAAGAAAAAAGAGAAGCGCTAAAAAGAGTGTTGATAGCTGTGTGCAGACTGATGATGAAGATCAAGAAGAATGGGAGGCACAAAACAAAAGCCATCAAAGCCGTCCACGTACTGCTAGAGGTGACAGGACTGGGTATTCTGAAGTGTCTCTTCAAGCCCACACTGAAATTTCAATCCAAACTGACAAAGAGGGAAATATTCGAATGGACACCAGAATGGAGTTGTCAGACTCTGAGAGAACCTCACCAAAGAGGCGACCTACTCCCATAGAAATTGCCCAGTCTCCTAGCCTTAAACCAGACTTTTCTTCCCTTCAAGCTGCTCCTAAATCTCCAAAAGTGTTGTATTCTCCTATATCTCCCTGCATATCACCTAGCAAATCTCTTGAATTTGTGTCTTATGATAAGTCTCTGGGTGACACAAGTCCACAAAAGCTAAGGGAAAACATAGACCCATCAAAAGGCTCTCCAGGAAGCACCAGAGGAATCAAAACCATTCAGCGATCCCAGTCTGACCCCAAGTCCATGAGTCCAACTGCAGAGGAAAGAGCAGCTTCAGGCACCCAGTATGCTGATGGCCACACAGTGAGTACTTTTGCTACACGTCATTTTAAAGGTTACATAAGCATGAGAGAGGAATCCAAAAGGGTTCAAATCAAGGCAACTGGACTTCTTTGGTTTCGTGAAGACGTTTTGCTTCTCATCAAGGAACTTCTTTGTCAATTCTGACAGGAATATGGGAAAGTCAAACTTATAAGCTGTAGCTGTTTATTGTTCTTTAAGGAGCAGAAACTACTTTAAATATTGTCTCGGAATGTGTCATTAAACAACACTACAGCTTATAAGCTTGACTTTCTTGTATTCCAGTGAGAATTCACAAAGGTCCTTGGATAAGAAGTAAATCGTCTTCAAGAAACAGAAGTGCAGTTTCCTTTATCTGAACCTTTTTGGATTACCATGACCTGGATGACTGAGAACCTTCACCAGCACACGAGAGTGCAAGATAATTAACAATTTATAGGCAATATATAGATTATGAAAATCTAGAAAAGGGTGAATAAAAAGTATTTATTGTTAAAAAGAAACAAATACACATAAAGTTAATGGTTGAACTCTCGATTACATCACTTTGTACAAAAAGTCACATTTCTATACATATTTTTAAAACATGGTTGAAAAAAATAATGTTTTTCTGTCTCTGAAGAACCAAACCTAATTGGCTTCTTCATGTATACAAATTATTGGCTAAAGAATTCTACAAATCTCACCTTTCATTGTTACAGGGGAAGGGCTCTGGAGGCACACCAACAGGCACTCAAAAGAAGGTGAAGAGAACTCTTCCCAATCCACCATCTGAAGATGAGTCAACAACCACTGGCCAGACTGCATACAGTACTGGTTCTGCCAGGAGAAGAATGTGCCGCAATTCCAACATGGCACGTGCTAAGATCCTACAAGACATTGATCGTGAGCTAGATCTGGTGGAGCGGGAGTCTTCCAAGCTTCGCAAAAGACAAGCTGAATTAGATGAAGAGGAAAAGGAGATTGATGCTAGACTCAGATACTTAGAAATGGGGATTAATCGGAGAAAGGATGCACTCCTGAAAGAGAGAGAGAAAAGAGAACGGGCTTATCTACAGAGTGTCGCAGAAGATAGAGATTATATGTCAGACAGTGAAGTTAGTAACATTCGAGAGACGAGAGGTGTTCATGAAGGCGGTGATGACGAGGAAATTGAGAGTGTTGGTCTTGAACGTCCAAGGACAGCTCCTCATTCAGAGCTTGATGACTTTGTTCCACCTCAAACCAAGCATGAATATGGAAAATACTCTCAGTACCAATATCCTCAAAGCCAGTACCAACAGTCAATCTACCAGATTCCACAGTCCTATCAATCTCATTCTATCTACTCCTCTGTTCCCTCCCTCACTACCTCCCAGCAGCAGAGTTACCACCAGATGCTTTTGTTACAACAAAAAGCTGCCAGACAAGCTGCCCTTCTCTCGGAACTTGATGCAACTAAATATGATGTCATTAGTCAGCAACCTGATCCTACATCCTCAGCTTACCTTGGTGTCAAGTATGACAAATATGGCAACCATCTTGACCTCAGAGCTTTAGAGGTGGGAAGTATGGCAGGTAGTCCATTGCCAACTGTCTCAGATTCCTATTACACAGATGTGGACCATCATACACCTCGGAGCTACATGCTGCTAGAAGATGCTGCAGAGCTTGCTAAGACATCTACAGGACTGTCTTCATCATATATTCTGGCTGAGAGAGAACTGGCTAAGGCCGAGAAGCTATTGCGTAGAAGTGCTGCAGATCTTGGGTCAACTGACTATCTGGGTTCCTCCTCTCGAATCCATACTTTTGGAAAAACCCCTGATGAAGAGGACACAATGGAGGAACCCTATGAACTGAAACTTCTGAAGCAGCAGTTAAAGCAAGAGTTTAGAAGAAGTACAGGTGGGACAGAAAATTTAGAGCAGCTGACAGGTGTCTCTCAACACTACTATACTCCAAGTTCTGGTATCTCTAGTTACTCTCAAAGACAATATCCCAAGTCAGAAAAGTACAGCATCAGTCGACTTACTTTGGAGAAGCAGGCAGCTAAACAACTTCCGGCATCTGTGTTGTACCAAAAACACAAAACTCCACTGATAGATCCTAAAATCTCTTCCAAGTATTCCTCCATTTCAGACAGCCGAGGTTTGGAAACTGATTATACCAGCTATCTGGGCTCTACCAGTGCATCTCCAAGATCAAGCCGGCTGATGCAAGATGAAATTACCTTCGGACTTCGTAAGAATATTGCAGAACAACAAAAGTATCTTGGATCTACCTTGGGAGCCAACTTAGCAGGGTCACTAAATCTAGGCCAGAGCTTGGGTTTGGACTCCGCCTATCCTAGTGGTAGTCGGTCAAGACCCTCATCAAGACCCACATCTTGTTATGGCCTAGACTTGTCGATCAAACGGGACCTTTCAAGTTCTTCACTGAGGCTTAAAGGAGATGGAGAAGCATCTGGAGATGTTCCAAGTTTTCAGACACCCTCTGGTCGCACTAAGCCCACAAGCCTTCCTATTGTGCAAAGTGGCCGTGGACGAATCCCAATCGTGGCCCAGAACTCCGAGGAAGAGAGTCCCTTGAGTCCTGTTGGTCAACCCATGGGCATGGCACGTGCATCAGCGGGACCTCTGCCTCCTATCTCAGCTGATTCAAGGGACCAGTTTGGTTCTTGCCTGTCCTTGCAGGATTCCCAGCAGCAACATATAAGGGAAGAGACAACGAGGGGTAGGGGTTATGCATTGCTCGATGATCTTCAAGGAACAATGTCGGACAGTGAAGGTAAAAATCAAACTTGTCATTTATTCACCATTTTCCTTTTGAAAGTTTTATGAGTAAGACTTTGTAAGTTTGACTTCTATTAATTATATTTAGCTTCAATGGTTCAAAGTCTGCATGTTACTGTGTGTTTGTGCTGTACCATATTTTTGGTGAATGCATGTTGTACAACCAATACAGCTCGGTTGGTATGTTTAGATGTGGTGTGACTGCATGCCTTTGTGAATCTTTCTTTGTCTTGTCCTCTCTGTTGCTTTTTTCTGTATTCCACATGTTTTGTAATGTATTTTCATCTTGTATGCTACTTGACAGACATTTTCTTTCTTTTAATCCTTTTAATTTTAAGCATGCTGCCATTTTGTATAAACTTTACTTTCTTCTTGGCTATAAAGAGTTTAGACCACAAAGGCAGATTAATGATTTCCAGTTTGGGTTATAGTCATTGAGTGTAGCGTGGTTACTGTATATGATTTAGGTTGTTTCAGGTCACATTTATTTCCCTTCTTATAATAAAAAGAAAAGTTATTATCATTTAAAAATTAATATGAGTGAAATTCTTGGGGGAGAAACAAGAACAAGGCTTACTAATAGACATGTATTTGTTCAAAAGGCAATGTTTGATTGCAACATTTCTGCACGTGAAATAAATGTACAACTCAACATTGCATGCCTTGTCTTGAATATTTGTATTGTCTGATATTTCAGCTGATTTATGAACATATTTACAGTACGTCCTTTATACTTTTCATTCTTTTTTGTGTTAGCTCCTGGGCTCTTCTGCCCAGGTGATTAATTCATAGTCTTAGTTCTCATTTTTAAAAACTGTGACTTGAATTCTCCCTGAAATTCAAGGAGGTCATATTATATTTTTTTTTCCTCTACTAAAAATTTTATGCATAACATTTTGAGAATCTGTAATCTACAATGTTCCTTACTTTACTCTAAAACTTCACAATGCCTATTTCAAATAGGTTTAGTTACACTGCTGTGCAAAATTGTCCCTAATTTCAATTTGTTTGCAGGGGCTCAAACTCTCTTGAAAGATTTTTAAGTAGTTTTGAAAAGTGTATCTTCTGATTTTTAGAGATAGATTTTCTGTATATGTTGGCTTTTTTTTAAGAAAATTTCTGTCTCGTACCTATTTTTCATCAGTGATAAAATCACTTAGCCTAATTCCATAATAGATTCATGGATGGGTGGATGGATTCAATTAATATTTTCTTCAGAATTCTACACACAACACCCCATAATGACAACATAAAAATGTTTCTTTGTTAGTTTTTGTTTAGTTTTTGTGAATTTTTAAATATATATTGGACAAAAAAAAGAAACCACAAGTACAAGGCTGTTCACAGTGGCAAACCTGAGATCATTTATTTAGATGTTTTTGCAGCTTAATTGGAGTCCACCTGTTGTCAATTCATTTGATTGTATACAAGGTCCCACAGTTTACATTGCATGTCTGAGCATAAACCACGCATGAAGTTAAAGGGACTGTCCGTAGACCTTTAAAATAGGATTGGCTCGAGGCATATATCGAGAGAAGGTTACAGAAAAAAAAAAAAACTTGTGCTCTTTTGAATGTCCCAGTAAGCAAAGTGACACCAATAAGCATCAATTAGTGGAAGACATTTGAGACCCTCAGGACTCCTCCCAGATCCTGCATGCTACCTAAACACAATGATCCCTTGATCGTGGAGGTGACATGCTCCATTTGTCCAATAATTTTAAAATAAATCAGCATTTTACAATTTTATTCTCAGGGCATTTTTCGGTTTGTTGCTAACAGATAAATATTTACCTTGGAAACTTTCAGCAAATAACCTGCATTTAGTTTTCTTTTTGAATGTGAACAAACAGTATTTTAATAAATTGTGTTAAATTAGCACAGAGGTGGTTCATTTTTGTAGCTCAGGACATTTTTTTTGTCATCCGTTATTGTGAAAATATCTGATTTTAATTGCTTTACGAATGTAAACCTCCAGTATTTTAAATTGTAAATCAATTTGCCTTGATTCCAGCCCTAAGTGATTCCGTGATGGCTTTGAACAGAGAGGATGCATCAAATGGTAGAGTATTAGTATTAGTTATCTATTGATTAATATATTAACCTGCACCATGAATAAAGATGTGTATATTGAAGATATCAGGCCTAAACATTGGGAAAACATTTTGTAATAAAACTTACAATTTTTAATTCTTAAATTAACCATAAATGACAGAAAGTTTCATGTGTTTCAGAAGAAAGTTTAACTTTGTAAGAACTAGAGATTGTTGATAATGATAGTACATAGACATACCTAACATTTACATTCATAAAGGAATTCTGCCCCATAGCTTTAAATTTCTACATATATTTTATTAATCTTAATAAACTTTCACACTACATTTTTTTCTGCTTATTTCACAGTTTCTTTGCCTTTTCTTGTGTTCTTATTTCAGTCATTATTTAGTTTTCACAGTGACACTTAGATTTTTACAGAACAACATGTTTTCACTGGTAAATAATTCAAAAATTCCTTTTCTGGAGCAAGACTTAAGTGGCCAAATTCATTGCTCAGTTTATAAGCACAGCTTGTTTCTTTATACCTTAAGCTTACCACCTTAGAAGAGAAGAGACAGACTGGTTTGACAAACCAAGAGAAGGACGACCAGAGAATGGCCAAGAAAAGAGACAGGTGAGATGGGAAAATACCTTTGATGGCATGCTTTTTTTTAATGAAAAAAAAACAACAACAATATTTCTACCTTCTTTCAAATCCAAGATCCCACAGCTGTAGGTTTTACTGATGAGTCTCGACAGCAAAGGTTATCTATTTATTTAAATTATTTAAATATTTTTATTTAACAGTCAAATAAAAGCATGTGAAAAACACATTACCATGATAATATTGCAGACCTTCAGCTGGTGGAAAAACTTCATTAGTTTTTCACATTATAACAATAGATCTTATCCTACATTCTTCCATATTTGGTTCAGATAAACCATACCATACCATAGTTTATTTATCTAACACGTTTAAAACGCAGCATGGGAGCCGCCCAAAGTGCTGCACAGGCTAAACCAAAACACAACCAATCTAAGCAACTAAAACAGAAGATAAAAATACTAATCAAAAGCAGATAAAAGATGAGGAAAACTAAGAACACATTAAAACAATAACACAATAAAACACTAAAACGAGTCACTGTCTAAAACCCACATCATAGAAGTGGGTCTTTAAACAAGATTTTAAAACCGCCAATGATGGAGCCTGCCGAACTTTAGTGGGTAACGAGTTCCACAGCTTTTGGGCAGCATGTACAAATGCTTGTTCACCCCATGATTTGTAATGCATCTGGGGCATGCACAGCAGCAGGAGGTCAGCCAACCTCAACGTGTGCGTGGGTACATAGGGAGTGAGCAGGTCAGAGAGATAGGGAGGTGCCAGGTCGTTGAGTGCTTTAAATACAAAATAACTTAAATTGTACTCTGAAAATGACAGGGAGCCAGTGAAGAAGTTCCAGGACAGGGGTAATATGGCTATGTTGGTGCATATTTGTCAAGAACCTGGCAGCAGCGTTCTGGACGACCTGCAGCCAATTCAGGGCAGAGACCGGAGCACCAACTAGGAGGGTGTTTGCATAGTCCAGGTGAGAGGTAATGAAGGCATGGATGACTGACTCCACATGCCTCCGTTTCAAGATTTGTCTGAGGCGTGTAAGGTGGCGAAGCTGATAAAAGCAAGACCTCACTACGGAGTTTATCTGTGGGGCCACTGAGAGTTCAGGATCCAGCTTTACCCCGAGACTTGTCACACACTGTTTGGGGTTGAGGGTTGAAAGGTCACAAACAGGGTGAGAGCCATGGTGATTGTGGGAGTCAAAAATAATAGACTCAGTCTTCCTTTCATTTAACTTTAAGAAGTTGGATGCCAGCCAGCCCTTCACGTCGTCTAAACATGCAGCCAATCGCGAGCCCGCATTTTCCTCATCCATTGCTATATATAATTTACAGTCATCAGTGTAAATGTGATAGCTCAGGCCGTGCTGATTCAGGATTTTGCCCAGAGGCAGAAGGTAGATAGAAAACAGCAATGGCCCAAGAATGGAGCCTTGTGGCACCCCCCAAGGCAGTGGGAGACAAGAGGATGCACAGTCACCAATCTGTACAGAGATGGATCGGTTGGATAGGTAGGAGTAGAACCATTGATGGGCCACCCCTGTCACCCCAACCCAAGACCCAAGCCGGTCCAATAAAATATGGTGATCGACCGTATCAAAAGCCGCTGAAAGGTCCAGCTGGGGCAGCAGTACCCTAGACCCAGAGTCGGATGCCACGAGAATGTCATTTAGCACCCTAATCAAAGCAGACTGAGTGCTATGACGTGGTCTGAAGGCGGACTGAAACACGTCCAACAATGAGTTGCTGTTCATATGAGCAGAGATCTGACCATGAACAATTTTCTCAAGGGCCCTCGAGAGAAACGGGACTTTTGATATAGGGTGGAAGTTCTCATAAATGGTGCGATCCAGACCAGGTTTCTTCAATATCGGCTGAACAGCCACATCTTTAAAAACCATAGGGGACACTCCAGTGCTGAGGCTAATGTTAAAAATGTTCATGAGTGCGGGGCTCAGTGCAGACACCGAGTCGTGCACTAATTTAGCCGAGAGGCAGTCTACCGAAGAGCCAGCTGGCAACATGTGTTGGTGGTTGTTGAAGTTGGTGTTTCACCCAATTTTAGGGAATTGAAGTTTGGAATCTGGGCCATGGCAACACCTGGCTTCTGGTTTAAATCCATGCATGGGATCAATGTTTCAGGTCTGGGATAGATGGAATCATATTGGTCTCCAAAATACGGAGGTGTGCAGGAAGGTTTATAACTGACTTAGTGATTGTTATGTGTGCCAGCCTGAAGACACCAAAAGGAACCCACCGTCCTTCCAAAATGTTCCAGTTGTAAAAAAAAAATAAAAGACTACTTTTCATTCTCCTTAAAGAATACTGACAGCAGTTTTTTTCATAAACAAATATGAAAAGCTTACATTTAACCTTGCTGACGAATTGAGAGGATGTGCATAATCACAGAGAGATAAAGTCACTAACATCTTGCTGTTTTTGGGTCACAGGGAAAAGGTCCATACTACCCGTTCCCTCATCTTAGGGTCAAACTGCAGAGGGATCTCAAAGACCGCAGTGTCTCAGGTAAAGTACAGGACATTTACCAACAAACCAAAATGGATTTTTTTATTATGTTTGGCAATATGCAAACGGTCATGTAACTCAAGCTGAGGTTTTTTTTATGTCACAGCTTTTATGTTGCCTCAAATTATCAAGTAGAAAAATATTAAAGCTGGGTGAGGATTGTAAAATATACACATTGGAATAATTGGTTTACACATTATTATTCATCATGCATCTTATTTGCTTGATCACGTTCCCTGCATCCACCACACAATTCCTTCCTTCAGGCTTAAAGTCGGCAGACATTCAATGGCTCTCTTTTTGATTTGACTTCACGCTCATGAGTCGTCGCCGTGCTCAAAATGATATATCCTTTAAATTTACGATAATCTCCTGTAATTAACAAACACAAGGGGACAGTTTTGTTGACAAGTGGATGGAGATAATCAGGATACATTTTCTTCAGTCAGTTCATTCTGGCTATAATTACCATGTCAAATTGTTTTTATTGGTGTGAAATGTGTGGTTCTGGTTCTGATGAACACTCATGTACAAATAAAAGATGTTTTTAGAGGGTTACAGGCACGCTGATGGCTGTTCTGTTTAAGTGGACATAAGACATTTAACAAATATAACTCATTTAAACTGTCTATTAAATAAGGAACATACAGTTCCTGTGATCTATAAATGTCTAAAATATGGATTTTGGGATTTTATAGGTTTAAACTGGCCATTTCTATTTTCTATTTAATTCTAAATGGAAAGCACAAAGTACCAACGTCAGCTTCTGTGTGGGTGTGCTGTCCTTTGGATGAACCAGTCATTGCTTGAGGGTGTTGTAGGATTTTAACTCAGCCAGAAAGTTGTGCTTCGAAAAAATATTCTAAATTTTTCATCAATTTGTTAACAGTCGTCTCTTTGTTTGATCATGTACGGTAGTCCTTTTATCTTCTGATTAGATACATTTTTTAATTTAACAAAGGCCCAATTTGGGTCTCTGCATGTTTCTTGATGTTTTTTCTGTTGGTATTGTTCCTTTTAAGGATGTCTTTAACTCCATAGTGAAGAAAAATTCACTCTGCTGCTTTGAATCTAATCCTCAGACCTTTTTCCCAGCAATGTACACTTTCAGGAAAGTGTCCAAAACATTTAGCATGCTGATCTGATGAACAAAGTCCTTAAAGTAGTAATGAACAATCTCTAAAAGCTAAGCCCTTCACAAATACATCAGCCTTCAATTCACCAGCATATTCCCTTTGGAGGTGAATCATTGTGAAAATTACTGGCATTTAACACATTCAAGTGACAAATTGTGTGTGTGTGTGTGTGTGTGTGTGTGTGTGTGTGTGTGTGTGTGTGTGTGTGTGTGTGTGTGTGTGTGTGTGTGTGTGTGTGTGTGTGTGTGTGTGTGTGTGTGTGTGTGTGTGTGTGTGTGTGTGCATATTTAGCTGTATTTATGTGGAATCCAGCACACACTCATCACTCTGGTTTTTGCTGCTAAAACAGGAAATGGTTTGGGGATCCGTATAGTTGGAGGAAAGGAGGTACCCGGCAGTAACGGTGACATCGGAGCCTATGTTGCAAAAGTCCTGCCAGGTGGAGCTGCAGAACAAACTGGAAAAATTCTTGAAGGTGAGATCTTGGACCAAATTCCACCTACTTTCATAACAGCTATTCATGGTAAATGGCACTTAACACAGTCATTCACCCCTTCACACACATTCCCTGGAGGTGATGAGCTGCAATGTAGCTACACTGGCGCCACCAGCAGGCAATGCGGGTTAAGTGTCTTGCCAGCAACCTTCCCATTACGGGGCGGACACTTTTTAACTTCTCTGCAACCGTCGCCCCGGTAAACTTTGCAAAATATTATTTGCCACAAATTTAAATGCGTAAATAAGAAAAATACTTGTTGCCACAGATTGCATTTCATTTAGATGTGTCACGCAACCTCCCTCTCAGCCGTCAACCTCCTCTAGGGAGGCACCGCAGAGCCGCTCAGACTCCATTACCCAACATCCCCAGCGCCAGGCTTCCGGTTCACGTCACCCGCCAAATCTATTTAAGGAAGTGCCGCACAACGCCGACTCACTCAGTCATCGTTCGAACCGAACCTAACCTAGCGTCCAAACCAGATTGTCTCAGATCACGAAGCCTGTTCAGATCAGACCAGCCAGATCTAAGAATCCTGCCTGTTCTTAGAGACCAGCCTCAGACCAGGAGTCGCCGGATTCAGCTGTGTCACCATACAGCTGCGCACTCGGCTCCCAGATTAAACAGCGTGTCCATTCAATCCGGCTTCTGTCACTCCGCGCTTGGGTTAAAAGCCACGCCACATCCAAACTCTCGCCCAGCTCGAGTCACCCCGTTACAAGATGGAAATGGTAAAAACTGCAAAACAAAGACTTTACGATGGCATAATATTGAAAAAAGTCTTTGAGAAAAGTGTTTAAAACCAGATTTGTAGCAGATTGCTGTTTCCCAAGTCACCACCATGCTTTAGCCTGTTGATATATGAGCTGTGATGCCACCCCTAGACACCACCTGAAGATTTATTGCTGCGTGGTGAATTAGGTAGAACACGTTTTATGAGGTGTTATTGATTTCACTTGGGGGCTTGTGAGAACCGTTATCCCCGTCACCCTTCCTCCCCCTCAGGCTACTCGTAGTTGGATTAAAGCTGTGTGACAACTGGTAGAACTGTGTCCTGAATCATTTTTGATCATCTGTGTTCAGCCATACAAATGCCCCAGCCCCCTTTTAAAGTTAAAGTTAAAGTCCCATTAGTTGTCACACACACTGATGTGTGTGCGAAATTTGTTCTCCGCATTTGACCCATCCCCTGGGGGAATGGTGAGCTGCAGACACAGCCGCGCTCGGGAACCATTTGGTGGTTTAACCCCCCAATCCAACCCCTTAATGCTGAGTGTCAAGGAGGGAGGCATTGGGTCCCATTTTTTTCAAAGTCTTTGGTATGACCCGACCAGGAATCGAACCCTGATCTCCCAGTCTCAGGGCGGACACTCTACCACTAGGCCACTGAGCTGGTTTTGACCTGAATAGCATGTGTTCTTCAAATAAACTATTTTCTTTTTATTCTAAATCCAAAACAAAGTCCTCCTGAAGTGATACCGTTGCGTCAGAGCAAGAGTCTATTTGCATCTGTCATGTTGCTTACTGCAAAGACAGCGTCTCTGTCACCAGCACCGAGCAGAACGGCCGTGAAGGAGACGGTTCTGTCAGTGGGAACACTGAGCGTCAGTGTGTGTCTGTGGTGTTAACATGGAGGAACGTATTCAGAGTCTTAGTGTCACAGAGGAGCAGTGTGTGTGTGTGTGAATTCATTTATGTCTGACTGCTGAAAATCCAACTCTCCAAAGTTTGTCTGTGATTTAATGAGTGAATGAAACTACAGAATAGCTTCCCTGTCAATTGCACCCATGCAGCTCGAGAGCAACGTCGCAAACAGAAGACCCTGTTGATGAGCTGCTTCAATCTTTGTAAGTCAGGGTGGATTTTTTTTGGTTTTGCTGTGCAGTGGACTTGAAACAAGAAACAAGACATTTGTTCTTGCAAATGTTGATTAGAAGAAAAGTGGATCTACTAAAACATAAAAATTCTTTTTAAGCCTTAAACCTGCAGGTAGGATCCTTTCTGTAGATAAATGACGAATGAAACATTGCTTAGAAAAGCCTTTAACTGATCATATTTAAACAAAGAATTTTCCTAATGTAAACATGACTCTTTTTATTATTACTGGATCAGAGTGCTTCATTCTGACTGAACCGAAGTGGGGGTTTGAGTTGGTTTTTGTGGTTTGAAGTGAACTGATTTTGTTATCTGTGTTGGTTTTCCCTGAGTTCTGTGTGCATTTTATTTTCAGGAATGCAAGTCTTGGAGTGGAACGGTGTTCCTCTAGCGGGTAAAACCTACGAGGAAGTACAAGGATGTGTGGGACAGCTGTGTAACGACGCAGAAGTGTGTGTCAGGCTGTGAGTATGACCTTTGGCACCTTCGTTTTACCACATTATGGTCTTATGATCTCATTCAACTATTTAAATATCACTTTGAGTTTAATTTATTTTTTCATCAGACTTACATTTCCATAATTATAAATAATGTAGCTGATTTAGGAATGATTTTTTTATGGTGTTTTGTGGCTTTTTATTTTCCTATCCTCCAGTAACGTTCCTCCGTTTTACTTTTCTGTGGTACAAAAGCTGTTTATTTTCTAAATTTCAGTGATCTTAACATGCTGGCGGAGTGTGAGGGTTCTCAGCACCTGGATTTCCAGGAGCATCATAAAGGTGAGTTAGCTGTCTCGTTTTTCATGATTCCACTACTGATATACAGAGGGGGTGCAAACGTTTGGGCAGTCTTGTTAATCTTCATGATTTTCCTGTATAAATCATTGGTTGTTATGATAAAAATGTCAGATAACCCTCCCAATGTGCTACTGGGTGTGACCCCGCAAAGAAAGTTGACCATTGAGCAGGGTTGATGGTTTAACCCTCGAGGTCCGCGTGGCAGGGGTGAGGTGGTGCTCACTCCTCACCCCTGACCCCTCCTCTTTCCTCGCGGGGTCACCCATGAAGACGGTGGGAGGGTTAAATATATCATATAGGAGACACACACAGTGATATTTGATAAGTGAAACAAAGTTAATAGGATTTGGTAAATGGCCTGTATTTGATTTAGCGCCTCTTAGAGTCTTGGAACTCCCCAAGGCGCTTTACAACACAATCAGTCTTCCACCCATTCACACCCTGGCGGTGATGAGCTACGATGTAGCCACAGCTGCCCTGGGGCGCACTGACAGAGGTGAGGCTGCCGAGCATGAGCTCCACCGGTCCCTCTGACCACCACGATGAGGCGATGGGGGTTAAGTGTCTTGCCCAAGGACACAACGACAGCGACAAACTGAGCGGGGCTCGAACCTGCAACCTAGATTTACAGAAAGTGTGCAATAATTATTTAAACAAAATTAGTCAGGTGCATGAATGTGGGCACTGTTGTCATTGAATTGATTCTAAAACCTTTAGAACTAATTATTGGAATTAAACATGGGTTTGGTAAGCTCAGTGACCCTTGACCTCCATACAAAGGCGAATCTAATTATGGAAAGATAAATCCCTCCTCTTTGAATATTCTCAGAAGAGCAGCAACATGGGGCTCTCAAATGAGCTGAAAACAAAGGTTGTTTACGTCGTGGTTTAGGGGAAGGATGCAGAAAGCTGCCTCAGAGATTTCTGTCTGTTTCCACAGTTGGGAACAGACTGAGAAAATGAAAGACCACAGGCACAGTTCAAGTCCTTCAACCAGCATCAAGATTGGGTTCATTTCTTTTTTGTGGTGCCCAAATTTATGCACTGGCCTAATTTTTTTATTATAATATCCATCCATCCATCCATTTTCATCTGCTCATCCGGAGTTGGGTCGCAGGGGCAGTAGCCTAAGGCGAGAGGCACAGACTTCCCTCTCTCCAGCCACTTGGGCCAGCTCCTTTGGGGGAATCCCAAGGCGTTCCCTGGCCAGGTGAGAGACATAGTCCCTCCACCGTGTCCTGGATCTACCTTTAGGTCTCCTCCCGGTTGGACGTGCCTGGAAAACCTCACCAGGGAGGCGTCCAGGAGGCATCCTGACCAGATGCCCGAGCCACCTCAACTGGCTCCTCTCGATGTGGAGGAGCAGCGGGTCTGCCATGAGCCCCTCCCAAATGACCGACCTTCTCATCCTATCTCTAAGGGAGAGCCCAGCCACTCTGCAGAGAAAACTCATTTCGGCCGCTTGTATCCGTGATCTCGTTCTTTCGGCCACTAACCAAAGCTCATGACCATAGGTGAGGGTAGGAACATAGATCGACTGGTAAATCGAGAGCTTCGCTTCTGACTCAGCTCTCTCTTCACCACGACAGACCGGTACAACGCCCGCATCACGGCAGATGCAGCACCAATCCGCCTATCGATCTCACGCACCAACTCGTTTTTATCGTAATAACCAATGATTAATAAAGGAAAATCATGAAGATTAACAGGGTGCTCCATACTTTTGCATACCACTGTATTGATTTTAAGGCTTTGTCCCATATTTCTCCAGTGGAAAAACAAAGTCTTTGTCAAGTTGCAGACACTTTTAACCACGTAACACCAGCATTGTCAAATTTGATTATCATGATTACATTTCTAATCTTTAACAGGATCAGTACTTTCTTCATAATTATGTTTCACATCCTATTTATGCCTCATACTCTAGTGGATGATATAGGTACTGTGGAAAACCTGCATCTATTACATTTATTTTTTATAGCCGTGTTAATATGTAATTATATAATGAAAAATTAAAGGCTACTGGCTTTAATACCATGAATGAAGAAAAAGTTCAGGAAAAATAGAAAACAATTTATAAGAATTTAATTATTTTGTAAGGAAATTATAAAATATTTTACTCAATGAACAAGAACATTTAGGTTCTAAAACCCAAACGTAAAATATAAAATCTTCTGGTTGCTTTTCTCTGTAATTATGGTAAAACTGTTAAAATTACTGAAATATTATAATACATTATAATGATTATTTAAAAAATAAAGAAAATGAGTGTATGGGCGTTTGAAATGTAAACGTCAGGTTTTTCTTATATGTCATTTTTAATTGACAGAATAAATTATTAGACTGAATATTAATTTTATTATTTCAGAGTTGAATTTGACTTTAAAATAAACAAATACAATAATAATAATAATAATAATAATAATAATAATTATTATTATTATTATTATTATTATTATTATTATTATTATTATAACAAAAACAACAACACTTAACTGGCCCAACTTGTTTGTATGTTTGTCCCTTCATTTGAGGGAAATTATACTTAACAAATGATGTATTCCGATGCTGATAGTAGGAGATTTATATTTTATTTATTCCTGTGTGTGTGGCCCTTCAGGTGACAGACCTCCCAGGTCTCCAGGTGTTGACCCCAAACAGCTGGCAGCTGAGCTGCAGAAAGTTTCACAGCAGCAGGGTCCAACGTCCTCTTCTTCTTCAAGCCTTCCTGCCCTGACCTCAGCGACCTCCAGCCCTGCTCAGCCAGGATCCCCCTCTGTTAGCAAGAAACGCCACAGCAACAAGGCAGGTTCTCTGGAGGTGTTTTAGATGATTATTCAGCCTCGAGCTGTGCTTCAAACACAACACAGCTCAGTACAGCTTGTACAGTTTGTCCATCTCCCAGTAAACACCCCGCCTACAGATTTTTATTCAGTGTTGTCTTAGCATCTCACTTTCCTCTCTTTCAGGCTTTAGATGGAACCAAAACCCAGTCCCACCCAGTTTCAGGAGAGATCCAGGTCTGTGAAATAAAAGTTTTAGAAAGATGCAAAAGAGTACACCCCAAAAGTTCATTCCTTTTCATACTTTTAAATGCTGTGTTCATTTTTACAGCTTCAGATTCACTACGACAAGCAGCTGGGCAACTTGATAGTCCACGTCCTGCAGGCCAGAAACCTTGCACCGCGGGACAACAACGGCTACTCTGATCCATTTGTAAAAGTGTATCTCCTGCCAGGGAGAGGGTGAGTCAGGAGACTGGAAACTGTAAGCACTACTTGAATCATTCAGCTGAAGCAAGGTTGATTAAGACTGAAAAATCAGTGTGAAAGAGATGGCAGTGGTGTCAGCTTAGATTCAGAGTAGGACTGAATTTAGTTCTAGCTGACATTTTTCCTTCTCTGCTGTGCAGACGACCACTTCTCTGAGCCCAGACTTAATTTCCATTCATTGTAAAATCGATTTAGAATTGATTTTGGCCAACCATTGCATCATTGCAGCATGTGCCTGTTTCTTTGTTACCAGCTCCATATCACCGCGACGCATCGAGTCCATCAGTTACAGGACTCATCACGGCTAAGTGACATGAGCATTATGTAAATAACATCAGGTTAAAGGTGTACTTGCGCTACCTTTGTAGATAGATGTTGCGCTGCAGGTGTGAGTGCAGTTAAAATCAATAGCTCTCATGTCTGTGAGTAATTTGATCCACATTCCCTCCTAAGTCCCTTTCAACCTATATCGATAGCATTGAAATGCAATCTTCCACACTGTCTTCTGTCTGACATTAGATCCCTAGAGATGGGTTTGGTTTTTTTTAGTTTTCATTCATGATTTTTGATGAAGTGTCACTGTCTCACAGCTGAATGTGCAGATTCAAGCACTGTCGTGGGATTTTACTAGAGCAGCAGGCACGAGCTCTGCTGCCATTGCCCTGGGTTTGAGGATATGCGCGCTTTTTTTCATACACAAACAGTGAAAGGTCAGACCTCCTCCTTCTGAATAATCTGGTAGAAAGCAGAATCCATAAATTTTATCAGTTACAGCAAGAGATCCTGGTTCTGAAGCAGCAAAGCAGCCCCAGATCATCACACTACTGCTCCCATGTTTGACTGTTGGCATGACGTTCTATTTCTGAAATTCAGTGTTCGTTTTACTCCAGAGGTGACCAAATACACACCTTTCAGATAATTCTACTTTTGTCTCCTCAGTCCACACAGATTTTGCCCAAAGGTGTTGGAGACAATTGAGATGTTTTTGGCTAAAGTGAGATGGGAATTTTTGTCAGGATTACTTCTTACAAATAGGAGGAATGTAGGTTTGCTATGTAGCATTGTGTTGTAACGAGATGAACAGATTTAGCTCTATGTTGCTGTCCACAGTCATAATTTTTGGATTTTTTTTGTGTGTGTTTTCTTATTTCTTTTTTTTTTTTTTTTTTTTTTTTTTTTTTTTTTTTTTTACAAAAGAGCAATTTCATATTAGTAAGTAAATGAGTGAAGAACCGTTTTTTTTCTCTTGCACCGCGGGACAACACTTCTCACAGAAACAAAAATCACAAAATGCTTCATGAAGAATAAAACTGAAAGGTCATAAAGTTCAAAACAGCAAACTACCCTGAAGCCAATGAAAGATCATTAAAAAACAGAAAAGGTCATTGACAGATGCAGGAAAACCAAAATTTTCATTTAAAATTACAATTAAATAAAAAGGCTTTAAGCTGCTTTTAAAGGTGTCCAGACTGTCAGTTCATTTTAAAGTTGGGGTGAAACAACCTCGAAAGAGAGATCAACTCTAGCAGCAGCTCAGGAGGTAGAGCGGGTTGTCCGGGAGTCGGTGGCATGTTGGATCAATCACGGCTCCTGGCAGAGAATACTGCTGTTGTGTCCATGCCTGCTGATGGTGGTCAGAGGGACCGGTGGCACCAGTGTTTGACAGCCTCACTACCGTCAATGCTCCCCAGGGCAGCTGTGGGTACATAGCAGTTCATCACCGTCACCGTAAGAATGTGTGTGTGTGAATGGGTGAATGACTGATTGTGTTGTGAAGTGCCTTGGGGGGTTGTAGAACCCTAGAAGGTGCTATACATGTGCATGCCATTTACCATTTTACCACTTTATAACTGGTCTTTAGAACTTTAGAAAGTAATAGTCAGGATTTTAAAATGAATTCTAAATTGAATGGGTAACCAATGCAGAGACATCAAAATAGGAGTGATGTGAGCTCTTCTGTTCGCTCCAGTTAGGAGCCTCGCTGCAGGATTCTGAACCAACTGAAGCCGGTCTAGAGCTTTTTGTTAAAACATGTGAAAAGTTTGTTATAGGACAGTGTGTGTAATAGATCTCAGAATCCTAAGAGGAACAGTACAGCTGAATCTGCATTTATTAACATTCATTTGTCCCATATTCAATTAGTCTACTCAATCAGTAGCATTATGCGGCTGGAAGGATTTCTGTTTCTATATAAGATAAGATAAGATAAGATAAGAGACATCAGGAAATGAAATATTTATCTACCCTAGAGGGAGTATCTATAGTTAAAAACAGGAGTGGACCCAAAACCGAACCTTGGGGCACCCCACAGAACATCAAACCAAATTTTCATCAGACATTAGACATTGCTAATTTGTGTGCAAAGGGATTCTACAGTTAGCTTTAAAAAAGCTTATTTTAATAACAAAATGATGTTATCCTATTTCAGAATCATGAACCTACATAATTTTGTACATATTTAGTAAAAATGTTGCATATCAATCTAAACAGACAGTAGCCGAAACAAAATGATTATGCTCTGCATGCTAGTCTAGCCACACACAGGGTCCTCAGCAGCTCAGACCAGTCTTGCGTCTTGCTAATCACAGCGCTCTATCGGTTTGGTGGGCAGGATGTAACTGCAACTTAGTGAAAAAACAAAGATGGTGACAGCTCGTTTGAAACGACTTTGATGTCAACTTTGGACTATTTAGACTTGGGCTTTTCTTTGAGTCAAGAGCAAATCGAGGTACTGTATTGAAGAAAAGGTTGTATTTGCGTCTTCTTTGACAGGGTACGGCAGACTGCCCTGCTGACTAACACCTGTAGCGGTGATTGCGTCATGTTGTTTGTTGTCCACAGCATGCAGAGACAGTTTTGACAATGGTAGATCTCACCCCACAACCAAGCTCTGTCTAAGGGTCGTGGCCAGCCTATAAATTCAGAAATGTTTATGGCTTGCCAGACCACTTATGTTGTTCAGCAAAATGAAACAAAATGTAATGTATGTGTGGTGTTTTTCAAGCTAATGAGGGGCAGGGTTTGCTGTGGTTGATCAGGGAACCCTTTGCTTATTTATTTATTTGCTTATTTATTTAATTAGATATATTTCTTCCTGCTGCTTAAGTCCACAACACAGTACAGACCATATCTGGACACTACAGCCCCCTGCTTCAGTTTTCTTTGTAAATCACACATCTCCCCTAAATCTATCCTTAAAGGGGCATTATGGAAGTTTGACAGCCTAAACATGTATAGAAATAATAAATTTCTTCTTCATACATTCTCCTGCAATGCCCTGGTCCTGTAGAATGAGCCCTGGTTTTTTTTACTGCGATTGCCTATTTTTCTGTAAAATCACAGAAAAAGAGAGTTGCTCGGGTCGAGCAGGCTGCTTCATGCGTGTTCATGCTCAGGCATCGCCCTCCAAACTGTTCTTTGAACGTTGTTTCAGCTGTTATCAAGGATATAAATGTTACACATACAGAAGACATCACTGGTGCTTTAGCTTGCCTAGTAAGACTTCGGGCTTTTGTGCAGAAGACCCAGGTTCGATTCTGGATGTGAACATACCGTAAATCCTCTAATACAGGCCGGTATTCAATTAAAGGTCGGGTCTCCAATTTTGGCCAGTATCGGAGTTGGCGGAGGTGAATAATGGCTGGTCTCTTATTGTGGCCGGGTGGAATGTGGTAACAAGCAAGTACGGGGGCGATCGTTCATGTCAGTTAATTTCCTTTAATGTTTTCTGTCTTTTATTTGCGCCTGATGTGTTTCGTTGCTGTGGAGCGGGGCACATCACCTTGTCCTCCGACGCACTGATCACTGATGCGGCCGGCAAGCAGCAAGCACTCCGTTGTTTTTGCGGTCGGTAATCTGCCTCCTGAGCACGGCCACAGTAACAATCAGGTGTTGCCAAATTATTTAACACGCGATCGTTCATGTCGGTTCATTTCCTTTGATGTTTTCTGTCTTTTATTTGCGCCTGATGCGTTTCGCTGTGGAGCGGGGCGCACTGATCACTGATGCGGCCGGCAAGCAGCGAGCACTCTGCTTTTTTTGCGGTCGGTAGATCTTTTAGAACTGCAGTTCAAAGGTAACTCATAAGGTGAATATGAACCCAGGTAGCAGTTTTTCTTTAGGATTGAGAGGAGATGCAGGAAGATAATAAACAGACAGGACAGAAAAATAGTCAAATAAAAACAAGTTGGTTTTTGTACCTGGTTGTTGCAACAAACAGACACCATTGAAGGTAATCAGAAGTGAGGAGCAGAAAATGAAATAATTATTTTAATGTTTAGAGCAGCAGGAACTCTGAGAGGCTGCAGGCGCATCAGTGAGTTTGCGGCGCTGCGCAGGGGGAGGGGGGAGAGGACTGAAGCAGAAACTACCGTTGTTAAAAGAAATGTGTTTAACTTTGAAAATGTGGGAGCAATTTTACTTGTCAAAAACTCCAGCGAACCATTAGTCCATTTTGCTCAAATAGAAATAGAGGCCTGTCTCTAATACTGGCCCTCCTTCCAATAAAGGCCTGGAGCTTGATGAGCTTGAGTCAAATACAGGCCCGGGCCTGTATTAGAGGATTTACGGTAGTTGTTTTAGAGTTTATTTTTTACATTAATGGTAAAAAATTTTTACAGTAAGATGCCCAAATTTTTATTTGAGACTCGCCGAATGGCATTGAATTCACAGATAAAAAAGATTTGGGTTCAACTTTCATTTTGGAACAATTTTTCAAGCAAGGGAAGGGAATGATCTGTGCATGCAGGAGGACTGACCCAGGTCGGCTGTGCTGAAGAGAAAGGTACAGAACCAAATTCTCTAATAAATTAGCTGCGCGTTCTCCTGTACTCTGTCCTCCGGGCCACACACACACACACACACGCACGCACGCACACACACACACACACACACACACAATCACACACGACTGTCTCAGCTGTTATTTTCGTTAAGGAGTGTGCACGTACAGCATGCGCGACTCGTGCACGAGCCTACTATTGAAGCTGCCATTACGCTTTTGGCCTGAGGGGGCAATCGTGAGCATAAAAATTCAAAACTCCGTGAAGTCCCTTTAAAGTCCCCTTTTACACAAGCACTCACGGTCCACAGGACTTTATGTCCTTCCACCTCCCTCTGACTATTGTTTTTCTGTATGTTGTTTTCTATATTTAATGCATGCTGGACCCCCTCAGTCAGGTCATGGTTGTCCAGAATGCCAGGTATGTGATTTGCCCAATCTAGTTCTGTTTTGGTCCCTAGATATAGTTTTATTTTTATTTATTTTTTACTGAGTGGAAGGATCATAGTCATAGTCAGTAACCCCTTCACTCTTTGTCATTTCCTCACTCTTTTTATTCTCCCATGATGTTCCCTTTAACTTCATGCGTGTCGTGAATTCCAGAGGATAAAACTCGTTTCAAATCCCTTAAACTAACACATATAAATAAATAGTCTCAGCCCTGCTGTATTTTCCTGCTCTGCTTGAGAAACCTCCAGTAATGTCCTACATTGTCCTCCTCTAGCATCATACCTCTCTTTTAATGACCTTCCACATTAAATACATTCATTTGATGTAATATAGAGTAGATGGTTATACTGTCATTTCCTTGAATCTTTAATCAAACCCAACACTCTGCAAAAAACATCCATCTGTAAAAGTCATTCATTGTTTCACTTTAATGATTTGTGAAAGATCTGCTCTATTTCATTGTTTTTAATATTAAATTTGGATAAACATGTTAAATGTTTTTGCAAACCTTTGTTTGATAAAACTGAGAAGGGCTTCTTTTGACTCTTTTTGCTTTTTGTGAGACTAAATGACTTGATGGACACCAACATGGACTTTTTTGCAGCACGCCCCAACATCACACCTTGCTCTTCATGCACGTGGTTCCATACCATCCAATCATCTTCCTTCCTTGGTGCTCTCACTCTGCACTTTTCTTCCACAGCTCCTCGTGCTCCTTGTGGTGGTTCACTAACCTGCTCGTTAGCACGCATGATGACAAGGTGCATATGTTGTGATTTGTTTTGTAGTGCTGAAAACAAGAGGAAATCCAAACATGCAGGCAAGAGCCTAAATCCTGAGTGGAACCAGACTGTTATTTACAAAAACATCCACCTGGAGCAAGTAGGACATTTTTTGGATTTCTGTCGTTTTTGAGCTGTTTCTCTTAGCAGCTTAGAATTTTTTTCTCCAAGATGCTATGAACACAATTTGTAGGCCAATTAATAATAAATAAAAATAACTTTACCAGTCGTAACAGGAATGTGTGAGAACTTTTTAACTGCGTGTGCATGTTCCAGCTGAGGAAGAAGACTCTAGAGGTGAGCGTTTGGGATTACGACAAAGGTTCCTCTAATGACTTCTTAGGAGAGGTAAACCTCCTTGACCGGCATTAGTTTAAAGGTAATCAAGTTCGGAACATTTGCTAAACTGCTTTCTTCACTCCCAGGTCCTTATCGACCTTTCCAACACAGCTCAATTGGACAACATTCCACGATGGCTCCCTCTTAAGGAGCAGAGTGAGGGGGACCACCACAGACGCTCCCACTCTGGCCAGAGCCGACACAATTCCTCCAAACCCTCCTCACAGCACTCGTCTCCCAAGACCGCAGTCTCTGGACAGGAGAGTCAGGATTCCCCCAAGTCATCTGTCATCAAGAGCAGAAGTCATGGGATCTTTCCGGATCCAGCCAAGGGTAGGACACAATGAATTCCCCTCACCTGCCCGATCCAGTCATTCCCAATCAACATTCTGTTTTCTGCTTTTCCTGCTTTATCTCCACTGTGCTTGATTGTCTGTGTGTCTTTTCACTACTTTTTGTTCCCCTCTGCTATCTTTTCATTCTTTCATTTTTTCACGTGTACTTCTCGGCCTATTTTGCACCGTAGCTTCTGCTTCGTGCCTGTTTTTGTTTTCTCTTGGTCTGTTTTCTTGGTTGCCATGATGTCACCGGCTAGGAGGCATAGCCTTAGCTTCCTTTCATCTTTCCTCCCATCACAGAGGGCAACATGGCTGTGGAAGGCTTTGAATGCTTCTGTACTTTAAAGCAATAGAGTCACAGTGACATCAAATTAAATTAAATTTATTTAAAGACTGCGATTGGCTGAATTGTATCCCCGATAGCCAATCACTCCTTCACTCCAGGTGCTATACAGCTGGTAGCAACCTCTAAGTTCACTGAAGGGAAGGTATTTTTGGTAATTTGGTGAATCTGGTTGTTTTAGACACGCAGGGGCCCGCTATCGAGAAATCTCACAGTAGTCCTGGCACATCGAAGCCTTCCTCGTCCGAGGGCCAGAGCCAAGGCCACAGCCACGGGCACAGCCAACAATCTCGCTCACACGGCGCTTCACGCTCCAGCAAAAACTCTGCACGACACCACCATCAGGACAGCAGCAATGGAAGCAGCGGAGGCGCTGTCATAGCAACGGGCGAAGCCCAACAGCAGCCACAACGCCTCCAACCAAGTAAACCAAGACGCAAATGAAGCCCACGCAGCATGGCCTCCCCACACTCATCCTTGTTTAAACTATTTATTTCAGTTTCTTTTATTTTCTTTTTCTTGTTTTTTCTAAATTTTTACACTCTAGTGTATTCCCCGTTACATCCACTGTTTCCACTTATCGCCACTGTTTAAGCTAATATTTAGAAAAATAATTAATAAGCTTAAAAATGATCTGAACCAGAACTTTAACTTTAAACAGAAAGCTTTCTTAGTCAAGTAAAATGCAGATATTTTTACGCTTTATTTTAAATACATAGATGCTGCTTTAGAATAATGTTTAAATAATGCTACTCAAAAAACAGAACCAGCAATTTATGCTGTTTTTAATAACCAAAAGATTAGCAAATAGAAAAAAATTATAGGAAAATGTCTTCTATTTTGATTTATTACGGTCGCTCAGATGGTTTATTATTATTATTATTTAATAATTTTGTTTTGTTAAAAACCACAACAGCCAGCTGTTGTGAAGTTCCACCACTGAGATGGCTGTGCATGTATTACACCACCACCACCCCCACCTTTACGGACCCACAATGCACTCCGGCAGATGCTGCACGCCTCTCTTGTCAGAGACATGCGTGAGGGGTGAATGTGCACTGTGGCTGCTTGTGATTTTCAGTCAAGCTGGTTGCCATGGTGAAGACAAACTCTAAACATTCATCTTGCTCCTTCCTCTTTCCATCTTGAACTGCAATGCCCTGATCTTTGTTTCCTGCTGTTGACCCCAAACCCATGACGTCTGATCTGTGCTTCTGGGAATAAAAATGAAAAAACAACCCGAAAAAAAAAAACCACTTCCAGGCCAAAATGGCCACCACCCACTGAGGCACCAGAGACACAGCATAGTGGGAGTGCTCACCATTCAGAGAGCCCAGTCTGACTGGCTGCCCACCCTGCCATCGAACGTGACGGCCAAAGGGAGCAGAGCAGATGGCAGACATTCGACCCTCAGGAAAGCTGTGTCAGAGGAGAGGCCGCAGAGCATCGGAGGTGAGAGTTTGCCCAAGAGTCTCCCCCCTCCCTCTGTCGTGTGACTGAAGCAAAGATGGAGCAAAGAGAGAAAGAGAGAGTGAGAGAAAGAGAGGATGCACTGCAGTACTACTAACGCACACCTGCAGAAAGAAAGAGAAAGAGAGAGGGGAGTCTTACAAACTAACAACAGAGACAGGAAGGGAGAGGAAAGTTGCCACATCACCAGTGATTCATGCAGCGAGGTGCGCTCTCTTCAAGGCCACGGACACAGATCACTAAAACCAGGAAATCAATGTCTCAAACTGCGATGTGATTCACTCTTAGTTAACACGACTGCTGCATCATGACGCCTCAGCGGTTCCAATGAATTCTGATTGAACAGTGAGATTTGTGTCGAGTGGCCTGAAAGAGAGTCGTGTTGGCATGGACCCTGTTCTGCACCACATCTGAACATCATTCATGCTCACTACTTAATCAGTTATTCAAACATTCAGACTCATGCATCTTGCATGTAAGCAGGTTCTAAAATGGGTAGAATGGTAAACATTCTTTAAAGTTCTCCACACATATAATATCCTCCTTTTTAATGACTTTTTACATTTAGTGAATTCTGTTTTTAAGTAGTAAGAATCCTCAAAATTCATGTAGATTATTAACAATTTGAGTAGTTTTTGTGCCTCTCATGTAATGTGCATCAACATACATGTTCATGTTGAAGCTTATTGTTGTGTTTGTTAAGAGAGGCTTCAACTAGCTGTCCATTTGCTTCATTGCTACTCCTCGATGTTTGTGTGCAACATCACCGTCACGTCTCGTAATCTTTGGAAAAGTCTTGTTTGTTACGATGATTTCATTTGCCTGGAGATTTTTAACTTTGTAGCCTATCGCAGTTTCATTTCCCATTACTTAACTGTAATGGGTGTGTTGTGTCTCTGCACAGCACGATCGAGCTACAGATCCGGCGATGCCCCGGCCATGGCCGCCTCATTGGACAGCGGGCTGAGCGGCAGCGCTTACAGCCTTTTGGACGAAGAAGGAGAGACGAACGAAGTGGACAGCGCTATCTTCCAGGTTCCCCGATTGTGAGTATGGTCTCACATGCACAAAAGAGGCATCTAGAACAGATTTGGGTTTGAAAAGAAGATTGTAAAGTACAAGAAGAAAGATCATTTTCTACCAAGTTCACAGAAAAATGTAGATGTTTGCTTTTTGAGACCATCAGGATCAGACTGACTTAATGGAACAACAAATCATAAAGTAATACTTTCAAAGGGGTTATAGAATGAGTTTTGTGGGGCTCTTTTAATTGATTGTATCACATTTTTCTCAATGCTTATTTTTCTGTGCATTTGGACAGTACCTGTGCTGTGTGTGTAGAAGCAAAGAACGTGCCTTGCTGGCTAAACTTGGTGCCGATAGCTTTGCTCTGAGGATGGAAAACCCCTGACATAACTGTGAGCTGACCAGCTAGGTGAATCAGAAAATCTGACTGGTTAAAAAAAACAGCTCCATTGCTTTACAGTATAACAACGATCTGCTCTAATGATTCTGAAGGCCTTGAGCAGATTACATTCCTCTTGGTAACATAGAGAGTAAATATGATTGGACGAAACACTGAAAATGACTTCCAAGTGAACCTGACCTCGTTCTTAGAAAACACCAGTGTTGGGCAAGTTACTTCAAAACTGTAATGCATTATTTATTACTTGTTACCCTCATTTTAAAGTAATTCATTACATTACAATATTACTGATTTTAAAATGTAAGGCATTACACTACTTTTGCATTACTTTAAGTTACTTTCACCAAAATAACTTCAGTATGAATGTGGTAATGTGACGCTCAGTGAGCTCATGACATATATGTGGAAGGTGATGTGGTGTCTGAGCTAGGATTGCTGTTAAAACAGTCAGATATAATAACAGTGCTTTAAAATGATTGTTTATTAAATAAAAGCAACAACAATCTTTACTCTCAGCGTGCTGCCATCTTATATTAACTGAGCAGGGAGTGAGTGGGTGGGGGCTCCAAGCCTATATTTGCCTTGGTTCCCAAATGCCTTGATACGGCCCTGGATGTGGAACTGACTTCTGGGGTGATCTGATTCTATCACATGTATAAATATTAAATGCTTTTATATTATTGCTTTTCACTGGTAAAAATGTGTATTGGGGATAAATCTACCTACTTTTTTCTTTTTTTCTTGATTTTATTTGAATAATTTCCAGCCCTTCCTCTCTCTAACCTTCCTGCATGCTGCATGTTTTCTCCGTCTTCCAGAAAAAAACGTTTCCTAGACTTCCTACTTTCTAACGATCAGCCAAAGGGATCTTCACATGTGCGGCGCTCCAGCAGTAATGAGTTGAAATCACCGGGGCACAGATTATGAACTCAGCTGAGGCAAAGCACGTCAGAAAAGCACAAAATACCAGAGAATATGCGCTGATATGAACGATCGCAAGTGAATTATTTTGTTTTAGTGGAGCGATTTTGTGAATGTTGCAGCGGCCGCTTGTAGGACGCAGCTGAGCCGTTACCGCTGCGTCCTCTCTGCCCGCAAAGCTGAGTCCATAAATGTCGTAATATATGCAGATACTGGATCTTTCTTCGGGTTTCCTGCAATTTGAATTTTTAAGGAACACATCTTGATTCTGGGTTTAAAAATGCATTGTAATTACCGCGTTACTGACAATTGTACCGAGTAAATATTACCATTTTCTTTCCCTGTAATGCCTTACATTACCACATTACAGCAAAAAGCAATGCATTACAGTAATTAATTACTTTTGTACCGCATTACTCCCAACACTGGAAAACACCTCCCACCCAATCTATTCCACTGTGGAGACCATGGACAGCTCCTTTGGTGAAAGATTGAGACATTTAAGATAATTCATTCCCTCTGCAGTAAGAGTATCTCCACAGTTTAACTGGTGCTGGCATTGTCTTGTCACACACTAACATCAAAGCAATACAATATTCAGGATGTGTTTAATCAGATGTCCCTTATGCTGCGTAATTCTGGAAACCCAATTTTGTAACTATATTTGTTGTTTTTAGTGCTTGAAGGTTGCAATAATAGCCCACTGTCTGTATGTATTTACCTGTACTTTTGTTATTACTGTTCTACCTTTTCTCTAAGTGGATGTGTTGCTTTAAAAAGGGAATTTCCCCACTCGCCACTTGATGAATGAAGTCTATTCTATTTTATTCTATTCTAAACCCACAGATGTGTAGTTGGGCAGTGCAGCCAAGAGAAACGTTTACAAAAAGAGAAAATAAAACCCTTAAACCCCTAAACTAAGATCACTTACTGAACAAACATAATTATAGCAATAGATATAGGTTAGTAATGCTGATCATTTTAGGCCAGCAGAGGAGGCCTTGCTGACTCTGACCACACACACCAGTTATTGCACCAGTCGTGTTATTAATAAATGGAGTTGCCTGTATTTAGCGGGATGCTGGAATGCTACATTTTAGGTTGAGGATGCTCGAATTTATTTGTTGTATTGAAATATTCATTGTGTCCTTCTCTGTCTTTTAGTGGAAAGATCCCAAACGGCACAGACGTTATTAAATCATCAATGGGACACAGTGATGCTGAAGGTTAGAAAAGGCCTCACACTTAGATTATACAAGTAACAGCAGAGATCACATTACCCCAACACAGCTTTCACAAACATCCTTTTGAATCTTTTGCCAAGGCAACCAAAAACCAATGAGAGCATAACTTATCTCACTCATATTCAGCAAATAACTGTAACTGCTTGTTGGCGAGGTTTGATTGTGATGATATCGATATTCTTGTTGGCCACAAGGGGGCAGCAGAGGTACTTATAAACTGGTCAAACCTAATGCTCTGTAGGTAAGACTCAAGTGATGGGGGAGATCAGGATCGCGCTGAAGAGGGAGATGAAAACCGAAGGGGAGCACCTGGTTCTTGAGATTCTTCAGTGTCGCAACATCACCTACAAGTTCAAGACTCCAGACCACCTGCCTGGTAGTAATTTTCATTTTCTGTCCACTAATAAGGCAAGGCAGCTTTATTTATGTGGCACATTTCAAACACAGGGGCAATTCAGTGTGCTTTACAATTAGCATTAAATGGCAAACAACAACAAACACGAGAACGCAAATTAAAAATACACACAGAGAAAATTATAATTTAGAGCTAAAAGGAAAAGACAGAATTAAGGTTGAGCGATTACATCACAGATTACAGTGGAGACGATGCAGCATAAGAAAAAAATTAATTCAAAGGCTGATGAGTACATTAGGGTTTTAAGTTTTGATTTAAACAACACGAGGGCTGGGGCAGATCTGAGATCCTGGGGGAGCTGATTCCATATGTGAGCAGCATAGTAGCTAAAAGCATCTTCACCCGGTTTGGTTCTGACCCGAGGTTCTACCAGCTGACTGTTTCCTAAGGATCTCAGAGTCCTATTGGGTGTAAATACAGGAATAAGATCGGACTTGTATTTTGGTCTGTCTGTGAAGGTTCTCAGTCATCCAGGTCATTGTAGTCTAATGAGCTTTGAAAGAAAAGCGTTGTAAACCACCGCCTCTGTTCAAAGATGGTTGCTCACAGTGGACATAAATGGCTTCCTTTACTCCTCTTTCAAACCATCTGTCCTCTCTGTCCAAAATGTGAACGTTGACACCAACTGTCTGCCATCTATAATCCAGTTTTGAGATCCCTTCCCAGATGCCTCAACGCCCACGCATATCCTGGGCCATCTGACCTCAGGAATTCACATGATAGGGTGGGGCCAGGCTTCACAATGAGTTCACCCGAAACTCTGGCTGAATAGGACCCACACCCACCCTCACACCTTGGCTCATGTGTTTATGTAGAAGATCATCAGGGGGTCTTTTGTTGCCTCTTCGGGGGGAAACTCCCACTGGGTTTGAATCCGGGACTCTCCACTATTTGACCTTAGAACTGAAGAAGCCTCTCGGATGAGAGGTGAAACGTCTTCAAGCAACTCAAAGAAGTCCAGACGCTTTTCTTTCAAAGCTTGTATTTTGGTCCCATGCCACTGAGTGATTTATAAACTAGTAGCAGCACTTTGACCTCTATTCTGTGGTTTACTGGTAACCAGTGTGGGGATCTAAGAACAGGAGTGATGTGCTCCGTTCTCTTAGTTCTTGTTAAGCCTCTAGCAGCAGCATTCTGAACAAGCTGCAGTTGCTTCACAGCTTTTTGGGGAAGACCGGTTAGGAGACCACTGCAGTGGTCCAGCCGACTAGAAATAAAAGCATGAATAAGTTTCTCTAAGTCTGATCTGGACATGTGACCTCTGACTCTTGCTATTTGATGAAGGTGATAAAATGCTGATTTAGTTATAGTCTTAATGTGTCCAGAGACGCTCAGTAGAGTAGTAGAACAGTGCCAAATAATAAGATAATGACAAGGTGATCATTAGGCAAGCCAAGGCAGCTTTATTTATAGAGTACATTTCAAACATAGAGGCAATTCAATGTGCTTTACAATTATCAGGACATGATATGGAAACTGCATAAAAACACAAATTAAAATACACATAGATAGAATTATAGTGATACGTTTGTATCAGCAGGTTGCCTAGCTACCTCTTCTGCATTTGTCAGTGTTATAGAAGCAGCAGAGTTAGATCTTCTGTGAACAAAAAAACAGTTTTATAAATGTGGGGTGCTTTTGTCTGTGCTCCCTTGGACAGCCCCTACAGCTTACTACTGGCAGCAACATCAAACAATGTTTAGAGACAATAAAGAGAAAAAATGGCACCTGAACGTACATGTTAAAGTCTAAGCTGTGCTATTTTGGAGCTAAATTTGTGCCTGAACAGATTTTAAGCTCCTGATCACAAGGCTCAACATTATTGTGTGCTCTGAAGAAGGTTGCATGCATAAAGATTGAAACAGGTGGCTTGTTTTGCTAACTTTATGTGCAGTGAAGATAATGTGGTGTGCACAATTCCTTCCTGCGTGATGAATCACAGATCGCCGCCCACAACACGGCTTCTCCTTTAAAATTTACTGTATGTTCAGAGGCTCAGACTGTCTGCCAACTTGTTTAATTAGCATGTTTTCCCCCCAGATGGGATCTGCAGCCTTATTTCCTGTGAGAATTGAAACTCTGCAGCATTGGGTTTGTCTCAGTGACTCAGAGCGTGCAAGATTCTCCATCATTTCCATTGTACAAGACACATTCTGAATCGCTGCAGTTGTTTCTCAGCTAGATTAGGCTGTGTGTTTTTCACAAAATATCTGTCTGCAGGATTTTTCACAGAGTTTTGACTCTGATGACAAAAACACTAAATTGATGTGATATGAGTTTGTTTCCAGTTGTATGTTTTGGATCTCTGGAGACAAGTTGCAGGTTTTGAAAGTGCTTCTCTAGCACATTCCTGAGCTGCAACTTATCCATATCTCAGATTCGTATTTGCAGTTTCTTTATTTAATGCATCAGATCATTTTCAGGACACTTCAGCGCCTGTTTCAACGGAACAAACATTGATTGTGTTTACATTAGTTATTTTATTTAAAAGAAAAGGTAATTTATTGAAAATGTATCTCTTTCGGCATTGAATATTTGTTGGCAGTGGAAATAATATATAAACTAGGGATGCTTTGATCAGGTTTTTTGCTGCTGATCACCAATACAGATCACAAAGGCCACCGATCACTGATACCAATCGCAGGGATTGGACATAGATTTTTTATGCCATTTTAATTAGTGCTACAGATCTGGGGGGGGGGGGGGGGGGTAGCATCAATTTAAATGGTCTGTAATTAGACAAAAATAAATTTTTACTTTTTCAAGAGAAAAAAAATTACAATCATTGTTTATTTCCGACCACAACTTCCGAGCCTCCGACTCACAACCCAAGATTTAGTACTGAAAGAGCTTCTCGGATGAGAGGTAAACCGTCGTCAAGATGATCTGAAAATTCCAGTTGTTTTCAATTAAAACTCTAATGTTCAGTATGAATGAGAATTTACACCAACATGCAGCAATCAGCAACAATGCAGTCAAAAGTCAATCAAACTTAAATGTAGCTGCTATCAGTAATAAACTAACAGATTTAAAACAGTCAAACTCTCAACAGTCTAAATTAGGGATCACCAACTCTGGTCCTTGAGGGCTACCATCCTGCACATGCTAGCTGTTTTGTTGCCCCTACACAGCTGAGTTACTCAATGAGTAATTAACAGGCCTGTGCAGTAAAATTACTCCATTTAGGTGTGATAGAGCAGGAAACACAGAAAACTAGCAGGATGGTAGCCCTCGAGGACTTGAGTTGGTGACACCTGGTCTAAATAGTGCAGAAAAGCAAAAAAAATCAAACAACCTTTTGTTGTGAGACTGATTTATTAACTCATTCGCTGTCAGCCATTTCCTGATCGCTAAAGGCCTTCGCTGCCAGCGTTTCTCACCGTTTTTACTGTTTTTTAAAGAGTCACAGAACGTTGCGCGCTAGGATGATGTCGATGGCAAAACAACCAAAACAAAGAGGAAAATCACCTCTTACATCAGAAAGAATCCACGTGCTTCGAGCGTTATCCATTATTTCATAATCCGTTGTCGAACTGTGATCGGCAGAAGCTTTTCCGGTTCGTGCCTCACTTTTTTTTACAGGAACGGCCCAAAACGATCTCCTGACACATGGATTTTCTGCTTCCTGATCATGTGACATGTGACGTATGCGGATGAAGATCGGCTTCAGAGCTGAGATGCTTGTTCTCTCGGCGCGGGGGCTCGTTCCGACACCCAAACAGTAAAAAAAATGCAAATGACGACTTTAGTCGTCAATGGCAGTGAGTGAGTTAATATTATTGTAATGGCTTGTTTGAAGCAGTAATGATACAACAGTAATGTTGTGCATTACAGTTTTATTCTGTAGGGGAGCTCAGCAGGCAATAAAGATTGTTGTTTCCGGATCCGGTCAGCAACTTTCTGAGGAAACCCGCTACGTTACAAACTGTTCTGTGGATAAACGGAGAAGTAGCCCAGATAAAAGACCCTTAAACGAGGAACCTGAGAGTCAGAGTCATGTTAGTTGCTTAGTTTTCTGACGGTCACACTGATAGAGATGAGTGTTGGCGAGTGCAGCCGAGTCAGACTGTTGGCACTCCCAAGTGTTTTTATTTCTGCAGTGAGCATTGAAAACTTACCTCACTCGGCCCAGAGTTTGTTCTTCCAAAGTTTGATTAAATCTGCTGTCGACGCGTTTTAACAAGCTTCCCCCACAGACTACATCACCCCATCAGAGTTAGTTTGATTTACGCTTTAGTCGTTGCGCGCATGTGCAGTACGAAGGGAGAGTGACGTGATGCCGCACACAAGATCTGTGTGGGCTACAAAGTAGTGACAGGTGATCAACGGGTATGATCGGCTCTAAAAGGCGTGGAACGTAATTTGCCGATCACGTTTTTCACGGAATAGGATAATTTTGATCAGTGGCCGATCAATTAGAACATCCCTAATATAAACATTTCCTGTAGTGTCCACTTCAAGCAAGTATCCGTCTTTATCCACAGATCTTTATGTGAAGCTGTACGTTGTGAACATTGCCACCCAGAAAAGGGTCATCAAGAAGAAGACCAGAGTTTGCCGCCACGACCGTGAGCCATCTTTTAACGAAACGTTCCGCTTCTGTATGAATCCAACTGGACACTCACTCCAGGTAATGTCAAATCAGCTTACAGTACATGCCCAATCTGTGTCTGCCATGGCGCTTTCGGCTGTGGATCACTGAGGTTTTTTGAGTGCAAGACCGTCATTGCGCCTATCCAATCATGTTGCATTGATGTCATGAATCTACGGGTCCTGCAAAAGTAAAAAAAAAAGTGCTCAAGTTGTGTCATTCTGCTAGCTTTGCAAGTCATCCTATATATGTGCATAGTCTGGCCACGACCCATTGACGGATCTCGGTCGTAGGGCGGAAAATATGATTGCCTTCCAAACTGTCTCTGCATGCTAATGGAAAATGAAAAATCCTCACCGCTACGCATGGGATTCAATGAGGCAGTCTGCCATACACCGTCAAAGAAGATGCAAATATTTACTTTTTCTAAAGAAAGGACAAGTACATCTCTCTGCTCTTGACTCAATGAAAATCACAAGTCTAATTAGTCAAAAGTTGATACCAAAGCCGTGTCAAATGAGCCAACGCCATCTTAGTTGGCGCTATACAAATACAGTCCATTTACCATCGTAGTTGTTCTGCATTGTCCTGTCCACCAAACCGATAGAGCTCTGTGATTGGCCTAACACAAAACTGTTCGGGCCTGCTGAGGATCCAGTGGATTGTGGCTAGACTGACATGCGGAGCAAATTAGTTTCGCTTTGGCTATTGTCTGTCTAGATTTCTAAGCTATCATTTTGCAACATTTCATATTTTGCCCATGTTATTATCATCAGCTTAAACGACTCTGAAAATAGATAAGACCCGTTTGGGCTATCTGTCAAGAAAGAAAATAATCCATCCATCTATTTTCAGCTGCTTATGCAGGGTCAGGTCACGGGGGCAGTAGCCTAAGCAGGGAGGACCAGACTCCCCTCCCCGCAGCCACCTGGGCCAGCTCTTCTGGGGAAATCTTAAGGCGTTCCCTGGCCAGGTGAGAGACATAGTCTCTCCAGCGTGTCCTGGGTCTACCTTTAGGTCTCCTGCCAGTTGGACATGCCCAGAAAACCTCATCAGGGAGGCGTCCATGAGGCATCCTAATGCTCGAGTTACCTCAACTGGCTCCTCTTGATGTGGAGGAGCAGCGGGTCTACTCCGAGCCCCTCCCAGATGACTGGGCTTCTCACCCTATCTCTAAGGGGGAACCCAGACATCCTGCGGAGAAAACTAACTTTGGCTGCTTGTATCTGCGATTTCATTCTTTCGGTCACTACCCAAAGCTCGTGACCGTAGGTGAGGTTAGGAACGTAGATCGACCTGTAAATCGAGAGCTTCATCTTCCTGCTCAGCTCTCTCTTCACCACAACAGACTGGTACAACGCCCGCATCACTGCAGATGCAACACCAATTTGCCTATCGTTCTCGCACTCCACCTTACCCTCACTTGTGAACAAGACCTCGAGATACTTAAACTCCTCCATTTGGAGCAGGCCCTCATCCCTCACCTGGAGAAGGCCTTCTACCCTTTTTCGAATCAAGGCTATGGTCTCAAATTTAGAGGAGCTGGAAAGAAAATGATATTTTTTAAATCACAATCCTGAAAATGTGGACAATTCATATCACTGCAATGTGATTGAATAGTTAACATTTTGGTCTTGAGCCAAATATGGTAGGCAGGAAATAAGAAAACAGCAACACATGAGGTCTTTTCATTTTTATAATCTCGTATTTGCACTCTGTTCTCATCCCAGCTGTTCCTGGTGTCAAATGGTGGCAAGTTTATGAAGAAGACCCTCATCGGAGAGGCCTACGTCTGGCTGGACAAAATAGACTTGCGGAAGAGAGTGGTGAGCTGGCACAAGCTGCTCGCTAGCACTGCTCACATCCACTCGTAGGACTGCACTGAACTGATTTTAAAAAGACATCAGGTTTCTGACTTCTGGGGATATTTAGAATCAGTGTTTTATATAAAAAAATGATCCAGTTGTCTGTTTGATTTTTTGGAAACAGAAGAAACAAAACCTTCCTGTTTTCAGCTTTTTTTTTTCCCAGGGCTCGGATAGCTTTTGTTTTGGGGGCGTGATTACAGGAAATATACACGTTTACAGAAAACGGCGTTCGCGATAGCATAGCCAGGGCTGAGGAGAACACAAAGCTCACAATTAACCAGGTATTACACACTTTAGTTCACAAGCACATGCATATGTTTCATTTGCACAAAAGCATGCGGATGTTTAATTTTAATACGTGAAAACAAGTTCATAAATAGATGTTTTATCTGGTGAAGATTCTTTACATCAGCACTTATCATTGCTTTAGCGAAAGTTCTAATGGTTTATAAAGCATTTTAAGAATGAGATATTGGAGCTTATTTATTTTTATATTAGATATTATTATGTCTTTTTATTTATTTAGATTCTTTAAAAACACATTCATCGTTGAAGGGGTGTGTCTTTTCCAACATTTCTTTTGTGTTGAATTCAAGACAGAAGAATCACAAATTAGATTTTTAGTTGAACAAATCCCCCTGCACATATTTGCTTTAGCCTTTCATCAGATATTTTTATTAAAGGATGAATTATAATCTATACAAAAATGTGGATATTATACGGTACATTGTGCTCACGACGTGACGTGCCATAGCTGGAGATGAGTATAAATAGATATTTAAGATGACTTTATCACAGACAATCAAGTCTCGATGATTGTGACTTAGAGGTTTAATTTACCCACAATGCCCTTTAGAATGTGAGACACTGACGATTAGAGATCTCCTGGGTTTTTCCCCCGCCTTTGTGAGACCCGTTAGGATTTCTTCAGTTTGGGAGGACAGTTGACTCAAGAACGCTCGCTTTCTGTGGTTTTTTGCACTTTTTTCTGCTTTAGAATGTAAAACTGACGTACGTCTAAAGGTTTTCCTGTTAATCGGTAAAAGGAGACGACGAATCGCCATCCTGGGATACGACACTGCTGCAACAGCGCTACACTGGTGTTCGCGCCTTTATTTGTTTATTTGTTTTTGTTGTCATATGAGTCATCTCACAGTAGAAATAGTCAGTGTTGTGTCTTTGAAACTTCATGCGCTTTGTGGGGGTCATGAGACAGTCCTGCTTGTCCGATCGATATTTTCAGCCAAACTTATTGAAAGTTATCTTCAGTTCTGAGTGATTTCTATGCAACATCCACTGTAAATGGTAGGAATTGCATCTTGACTTGCCAGAAATGAATCATTTAAAGATTTTTGTATTTCTTTGGAAATTCTGCACCACTTTCTTTCACTTGAACAATGCTTTGATATGATTTAATTGTGTTTTATTTCAACATGTGATTTTTGTAACGCTATATGGTTGTTTAGTTTTGGCTTCTGAGATCATTTCATATGTTATATATTTGTTTACAGTACATATCAGATGTACAGAAAACGGAAGACTTGCTCACAACGTAGTACTTGTTTACAATGTTTGGAGGGCCTGAAACTCAGAGATCTAACCTTTCTGCCCTTGTGCATGAACAAACACACACACACACACACACACACACACACACACACACACACAGTAAAAAATTCCACACAGCAAAGAAATTAGAGTTTTTTGTGCACTTCCCCTTTAAAGAGTTTTAATTTGGTTTGCATATCAGAAAAAAACAAAAAAATAAAAGAAAAATGTTGTAAGCGATGGACGTTTCCCCCTATAACAACTGAAATGTTAAGGTTTGTGTGTGTGTGTGTGTGTGTGTGTTTTATTATTACTTCTTGTCGATGTGCTAGTGTGTGTAGCATCTCCATACCAAGTCCATGCACGTCATCCACTCTAATCTCTTCTTTTAAATGTTGTCTAAGAAATGCAACTCAAAAGTCTAACACAACACACGTTTCACACACACACACACACACACACACACACACACACACACACACACACACACACACACACTTTCCACCTCTATGTTTCCAGCTTTGTAAATACATGAATTCAATTTTTATTTTATATATTCTGGGGTTTTGGGGGCGTGGAGTCTTTTAGCAGACAGAAAAAGGTTTGGGATCTTAGAAGCAACAAGAAGTTGCGTCTCTTTTGATCAGCTCACATGAGAGAGAATAAGAAAAGAACCACATGTTTCTCTACAGGGACTCGGATCCACCACCCCCTCCACACAGACCGCTGAGAGGTTCCCACGACCTAAAACACAAAAGGTTTTATTGTATCAACTCGAGTTGTTGCAGGAGAATTTTAAATGTGCTCACTGGATGTTGCATGTTTTGTTGGTGGTTCATACTATTTTTGTGTCCAGATATTATTACAGAAAAACTAAGTAAGAAAGAGGTATAGAATAATTTAGATGAAAAAGTGAGAGGGGAGGGGGCAGGGATTATGAGGGAGAGTTATTGATCATGTATGCTAACTGTACAAAGATGATGCTTGTAAAACCTGTCTGGTTTTCCACTTGTAAGTAAAACAGAAGCTAAATAATAATTACTGTCATGGTTTTGTGATTGTATACAGAAGGTATTGATAAATTATGCAAAATGTGCTGTAAAAATGGCTATTGCCTCATGTCTAAATATTAAATATCAGTACAAACGAATCATTTTGGCTCTGGCTTTAATATGTTGCTGTACAATTCACTGAGTGCTACACGATGTTTTGTTTTGATTTTGATTTATTTCAGCTGTTTGTGTTGTTGGTTAAAATGTAATTTTGTGCAGTAACGTGTAATGGCCAGAAGGTGGTGCAATAGCATATTTTTTCTTTTTTTTTTTTTTTTTTTTACATAGTTGGGAAGTGTTTGGTTCAAACCCAGGTGTTCTCAGTTTTAGCTAAACAGTTCCTCTGGTGGAGAGATTCCAAACATAACCATCACCAGGTGAGTGTGCAGCTGCTAGACACTCTAATGGGCCTTGGTGTATGTTAAAACACACACACTATGCAATGTGATTCCCTGAAAAATATGTAAATGCTGTCTCTCGCAGTGGGAATGCACCTACAATGTGAATTCAGAATCTGAAGGATTTCATGGCCATATGTGTGAGAATCACATTAGGAAATTGCTTTGGTAGCCTACTTGGTGCAAGAAAAAATAAATGATAAGCAAAGTTAGAAGTGTGTGTGTGTGTGCGTGTGTGCGTGCGTTTGTGTGTGTGATGAAATGTCAATGGAAGGCTGTTGTAAGAGATTGAGGAAGAAACATTCAGTCTATAAATCATAGATGTTTGAATAATTTATACTCCTATTTTAACCCTAAGTGACGTTTAAACACTTATTTTAACCAATAAATAAATGAATAAAACATCCAGCTCACAGTCAGTTTGGATAAAGTAACAGATGAAACCATCGCTGGAAGGAAGATGTGTTTTCTGCAGCTCACCTTGACAGCTTTCTGCAGGGCAAAGAAGAGTTTTATCAGACAGGAAAAAGAGCTCTTGTGCTCTTATGGGTTCTTGAGAAAAACATCACCACCATTTAACACACGTGAACCAAAGAGTCAGCCGAGAAGTTAATGAAATTTAACGACCCTTCTCCAAACTAAACGGACCTTTAATGAATAGTAATATGACTGTATGTTTGAGGAGTTAAACTGTTTTAGATGTTTTTAGATATGCAACCAGTTGAATTATTATATTAGAATATGTGCATCTCAATTTTCTTTAACCCAGTTTTCTTGTACGGACTGAGCAAAAGAAGTCTTATAAATGGTTCTCTGCTCATTTCCATCAAGATGAGTTTGAAGACTGATTTTTACAGTTTTGTTAGCTTAGCTTTAACACATGCATGTACATGCAAACATTTAAATTTAGCATTTAGTGGGATTCCTCCTGCAGGGGGAGGCATTAACAAATTCTGCAAGTTTTTTCTCATTGATCCCTTTTTGGTGGGAATTTCTATAAAACTTCTTATCTGATTTCACAATCATAAATAACCATTTTATATTGTACATTGCTGGAATGCATAGCAACAGTTCAGAGAAAGATTGCACGAGGCGACCTCAGAAGGCTAGATGCTTCTACCAAGCGTTCTTTGCAAAAACAAGCATTCCAATTATTTCAACCAAGGAGAATTTTACAATATGTAGCATTTTATAGCCTTCCTGATGAAAGAACGTTGGTTTTACAAACATTAAATATACCTTGCACAGTGGTTTCAAAATACAATGCAGATATATCTAGAATTTGTTTGAAGAAGTAGGATTTTTTGTTAACTTTATGTCTTCTCCATTGTTTACTTTGTGTTATAATTGGTGCCACATAAGGCCTGATGATGACTAGCATAGAGGCTCTTCATCATGGCTGATGGTCTGATGGGGTTTTAATCTTAAAACACCTGTTCTGTCATAAACTCCAGAAGTGGTTGTGATTACAGTTCGCTGCCCAGAAAGCTGCAGCTGGTCTTCAAATGTGAAACTGAATTAGAGGTCGAACATTACAGCTGGAACCTCAGGCACATTACATTTAAAATGTCTCATAGGTTTCAGATAATAAATGCTTTTCTTCTTCCGGCTCTCGGAGGGTGCAGACGCTTTTTTCCTCCTCTCCATATCTTATCCTCAAGGCCCTTTGTCTGTCTCTGGGTGCTGGGTGCACGGCTGCTTCTGCATTTTTCTGGAAACTGGAAACTGAAATACACTAAAATGGATCTCGTCAGTTGGTCTCTCAACGCGATTGATAACATTTTTTCAACGATGAGAAGGGGCTCCCGGATGCCCCGCCGCGACTGACCCAGTTGGACACATCATGGACTCCTGGAAACAGTGGAACTTGATTTGTTTATCTCAGCTGTCTGTGGAGGACTCTGAAGATGTGTGGATATTCGTGGTGTTGGTGTCGGGTTTCCTGCTCATTGGCCTTGGAGGCTACTTGGCTTACCGGAAAATTAACGAGCTGTCGAGGAATATTGGCCTTATCCCGGAGCTCAGAGATGGATTGCACCGTGCTGTGAATTCACAGACTCACATAATTGTCGAGATGAACCGTAAGCTTGGAACTTTGGCCGAAATTCATTATTGGCACAAAAGATGGATGCCATCAAGGAGAGAGTGGACGAATCAGCACGGATTGGGATAGATTAATGTCCATTATTGGGATTTTGAAAGGTTGAGGACCAACAAATTGTAAGACAGAGAGGAAATTATCTCTGTCTGGCCCCAAAACAATTTCTAATCGGAATCTGGCATCCTTGAGCCTGCAAGGCTCCAGCAAAAACTCCCCCCTCAGAAGATATGTGGAATGTGCTGTTGCTTTGGCAACTCAACTCTGTCTCCTTTCCCAGCCTGGGCGGGACTGCGGGAAGGCCGCTGAAACGTTCCGGGGTCACTGCAACCCTCCAACCCTCAATGCTCCTCCCCCTATCCACACTGAGGTGACATGCGCTGCTTATCGTGGCTGCAGGAACTGAAGTGGGGACAGTCCCAACCCACCACCTAGTGGACACTTATGTTGTGTTGTCTGAAGTCTGTTGCATATCTGTCTGAGGTGGTTTTTTGCAGAGCAAAGCTGCTCTCCTGGTGGGAGGGTAGCTAAGAAGTGCCTTTTTTTCCCTCCACCTGAACCAATCCTCATGTTACCCTCTGATCTCTATTAAGGTAGCGCGACTCAGGGTTGCGAATGACCACAGTCACCAATTCTTGTCATGTGTCTTGCCCATGGATGTCTGATCTCTGAATTGTGTGTACTGAAACTCTAATTTCCCTCTGGGATTAATAAAGTATCTTTGATTTGATTGATTTAAGTAAAGTTGGACTTCAATGAATCTACTTCTCAGCTATGTTTCATCCTCAGCATGTCTTTGTTCAGTTATGCTCTCCTTCTTCCCCTCTGCCTTTGTGTTGGATCCCTCTGATCCATCACTTCTGAAGATGTGTTTGTTCCCTTCTGTTGCCTTCAAAGATACGGCTTGCATGAGGTCGGGAACATGGAAACGAGCCGCTGTCGTTCTGCATTTGTGATTCACCGGGTGTGGAGGCTGATCAAAACGACAGAGATCTCCGGCACAGCAGCATCAGGCCATGTCGCTGAATGCATCATCTTGTCTCGGGTTAGGCAGAGGTTATTCCTTCAAGAAATCTACAAACATGAGTTCCAAGCATTTATTTGAGAAATATATTGGAAAACATTCAGGGTTTGCTTTCAGATGATGATTTCAAATGAATTTTTAATACTTATTTAGTTCAGCCAGAGCACTTACTGCACAACCTGCACAACTGGTTCATTATAACTTCTGGTGGAGTCCCTAAATGATGATTCTCCTCTCTGAGGTGAGTGTTTGGTTTTTGCACAAACAAAACTGAAAATGTGTGTCTCATGATCACAAATCAACACATACTAAGCCAGTTAGTTTTGCTTGAGTGGTTCCTAAAGTTTATTATTCTCATCGTCTTTTTTTCTGATGGGGTCATCATAATGGTTCGTCTGCGTTTGTGGTCATGGGAATGTTTGAGGCCACGATCTTGAGAGCGGCTCCAGCAGATCCCAGGAACAACATGCAGGATCTCTAACCAGAACATCTAAAAACAGCTCAGATTCAGCCCAGAACTCTCACAAGCTCACGTCAAATAACTCCCCCCCCCCCCCCCCCCCCCCAAAAGACTGAATCCAGCACTGGATGCCTGCTTCACCCTGTGTCTCCTGGACTCGTGACAGAAGAGCTTTCACTAATAGTAATGTGATCAGTCAGTGCACAGAGGCTACAGCTAGGATGTCACAGCACGCAGTTTTCTGTGTTAAAGTGCAATCTTATTATCTCATTGATATTTGGGGGAAATCAAGGGGTTAAAGTGCATGATTTATAAACTATGATTGTATTTTCTGTTTAGCAGAGGACAGAGCTAAACAGACTTGTCAACAGCATGGCTGTGGAGAAGTTCTGTCCAGAGTTTCTTTACAGAATTGTTTATCATTAGATCAAAGCAGAATTTATAGTTCAAACATCTACAGGAAGTAGTCGTGGAACAGTAAAGCAGCCCCAGATCACCATGCTACAACCACCATGTTAGTGAGACATTTTCTTAACCACCTGTCTGCTGGTTATGTTGTTCCGCGTTCCTTTGTTCTTTAGAACAGGATGTGTTGTGATGCTTTTAGAGATCTTTTAGCCCTCCTCTTGTTGTTGGACAGGTTATGTTGTTAATTCTACAGCTCTGATAGTAACCCGGTTCGGGTGTGGCTAGTGGAACAGAACTCAGCTGTGCAGATATTGTGGATAATCAGATTAGTCATGATTTAACAAGTGGAAATACATTTTAACTACAAACAGGTTGGTTTGCTTTTATTGGTTTGTGTTTTGTTTATGAAAAACAAAGTAAATTAAAGTCTACATTTTGTATTTATTCAGGTTATTTCTGAAATGGAAATTTGATGGCTGTACTGAAACTTTTTAGTAAAAAATGAAAATATAGATCATTCTTTTAGTTTAGTACCTTTACCATCTTCTTCATGTTTTGTCATTCTCAATGACGAGTTAATCTGTCAGCTCATGTGGCGATGGAACGTGTGTCCTATCTTCTTTACCAAGAAGACGCTGTGTGGGGGTGATGGTTACTAAAGTTTCAACTTCAACATCATGTGTTGCCATGGTAATGGACTCACCCAGCAG